AGCAGGACCAATTCTCACCCTTCACCTCCTGTTGAGATAAACAGTCACCAAGTGTGTGGACTGCTCAACTAAAGGCAGCCACCGTTAGTCAGCTAAAAGCAGTTGTTTTCATGCTAGTAAAACTTCAGCTACAAACAGCCACTCTGGTTAGTTAACTCGTTCAACCAAGTTAAGTTACCAATGCCGATGGAAAGTAATTTAGTAATCTGATGACCACTGATGTTACAGATTCCATGCGATGTAATTAGCTAACTTCTGACTGAAATACGATGTATAGTCTGGTAAGACAACTTGCTAGCTCTCCGCTGTTTACCAAGTTAAACAGAACTGACAGCACGTCAATGAATGGAGGGAGGCTAACGTAAATGTAACGTGGCTAACCAGCCGGTCACTCATAAACGTCCTCTTGTGACTCTTATGTAATAATTGTACTGGGCACAAGTTAATAAATCTGCTCACCTCTTAAATGGAGTGCATGTAACTCTTTTCAAGCCATCTCATCAAAGTCGTCACGGCTTTCATCAGTTTCAGTTTCCAAACGTTTTCTAATCACCTGTGTTGGGCCAGGAAGTGACATGTTGGGTTTTTTTTGGGCATGACGCATGCGCAAAACAATTCAATTTGAATGTCTTTACCGCCCCCTGTGGCAGAAAAAAAACAACACCCATGGATGTAACATAGAACCATGTTATTAGTGTAAAGCAGAAATACTTAAACATAATGATGGGAAAACATCATTCATGTATGCAAATGGGGAAAAAGCAGAAACCCTCGTTGTTTTATTTTTCTTCTCTACAATTATTGGCAGATACACACCAGCCAATACAAAAATTGTATGTCGCACTATGTTGCAATATCGATTGTTTTAACTTGGAATAGACAGGTATCCCCTGGATTACTTCTATTATGGGTTTGGTCTGATGACTGCAGTTATCAAAGCAAATGTAACTTATTTGTAGTAAACAAAGGAAGATTTTGGCAAAAGATTTGGAACGACATGGATTCCAACACAGCTATGGAGTCATTGCAATTAAGTCGGCTGATGACTACATTCAGCTTAAACTTATAAGAGGCTCAAAACTACAAAATATGACAGTAAACATATGGTGGTACAGAAGGATCCGTAAGATGACCTAAACAATGACTGTTGAAACAATGAAAATAATGTGCCTTATATAATTTCTTAAATATTTTATTTTAGTATATTTTGTATCCTTACTACTTAATATTATTTTATACTTACAATTTTAAGTTTATTTATAAAAAATAGAGCCTTGCTGTTATGTTTTATATGTTTGTATGGTTGGAAAGAATGCAAAATAACTTCTTTACAAGATATTGTACAATTGTGAACTGTAAATAAAGAGAAAAAAAGTAATCATTTACTTAAGTTAAAGAAGAAGTACCTCAATCTAACAGGCTGGTTTGAGCATTTACATTTAAGATGTTTTATGTTCTATTTAGAGTTTAGATTCAATTTTAAAATTGCCATTCAATTCAAATTCGACATCATTGGCACCCACGATATTTCGTAAGTTATATAAGCACGTCGTTTCCCAAAGTCAAAAAGTGCCACTTGAAACTTTCAATTATTTACAGTCAACATACTGTACATAACTTTTACAGTAGGTGATTTCATTTCCACTATAAAGCAAAAGACTTTTAGTTAGATCAAAAATAATCCCATCAAATGAATGACAACCATCGAAAATGGGAATAAACAACTCCACAAATACAATATCACATCATATTTTTATTGATCTCTGCTAAATGCTCAGAAAAAAGCACAGTTGTACCTTTTGGAGAAAGAAAATGCTTGCTGTTACAACATGGTACACTTCCTTACAATTTTATAAATGGTTTTGACTTTGTTTTTTAACCATTATGTACCCCAGGAGAGAAGGAATCCATCTCTGAGAAGCACATCTGCTTGTTAAACATAGTTAAAGCTGGAGGGTATCTTTGCTAACTAATCTGCTAACTATAGTGTGGAATTTAAAATATTAATATCTGAATTTTGATAGAAGCTTTGCTTTAACAGAGGATTATAGATGGAGCACTTCATTAGCACTAAAATCTAATAAATAAACAGTTAGGATGGTAAACAAAGACAAGATCACACATGATTTTCTTGGAAAAGGATGTTTATAAAAAAGAAAAGATTTCCATGACACAGAGAGAAGGCCGACAAGGATTCCCATAAATTACATTAGGTACAATATTTTTCAAAATTATGCATTACAAGTTTGAAAGCGCATCCATTAATCATTAAAATCTCCAGAAAGTCAATCATTGGTTGGTTTGCTGATGCTGAAAAAGAGAAACTTCTGTTGAAATTAGAGAGTTTTTTTGCACCAATAAAGTGTCTTATTGTCTGTGTACTCCTGAATTGATTATCTGATGTACTTCTCTGTCTCTGACCTAAACTGTGATGTTTAGATTATCATACCTGACCAGAAATTCTGTATCTCTGCAAATACAAGTTCATTATTAATTCTGGCAGCCGTCCCACATTTATTCAAAATAAAATGCTACAACAAAGATGAAGCACAAAAAACAAAAGACATAATTTTTGTCTGCCTTCATGGCTTGGAAAACTAAAATGAATACTTTATGTTGGTTATAAAACATAAAATAAATATTTTATGGCTCAAACAACAATAAATAATCTACCATACATATCAAGCAGCAGTAATACTGTACTTCCTAGTACCCGTTTTAATGGCTTGCCTTCTTCACCCAGGAACAACAAAACTTTCTGTAGTAGGCCTACCTATCTATCCTATGCCAAGATTGAATCTACAGAAAAGTATGTAGCTTTTGGTACTTGATTACGCTTATTTTGTGTTTACATGTAACTTACAGTGGACTTTGAAATCCAGTGTAAGATATCAGTAAATATGGATCAACAGACACCCTCCAAACTTGCACTAATTTTTAGTACAAGTAGCACAAAGGACGTTGCTATGGTGAGCAATGTGAACATGTTTGCTAAAGTGAAAACCAGTCACATTACAACAACACAAATAACTGGTCCCCTAAACGCTCCAATAAACAATCACCATTACAGATAATAAACCGTTTTGCATTGTTCCCACATGGCCAAAAGTATGTGGATACCCAAATATTGCACTCATATGTAGGTGTTGAGCATCTTATTCCCAAATGACGGGAATTAATTTGCCGCTATGACAGCCCCCACTCTTTTAGTTTCTGGCTTTCCACCAAATGTTGGAACCTGGCTGCAGGGATTAGTGAGGTCAAACACTTACATGGCCATGAGTTCATCCACACCAAACTGGGAACCATTTATTTAGGGGTCCTGGCTTTGTGCACAGGGGAATCCTAATGTTGAAACAGGAAAGGACATTCCCAAAATACTGCCACAGAGTTAGCAGCTCATTGCGGCAACTTATTTATCTATCAATTCATCTGTCAATTTAAATACAAAGCCAAAAATATTCAATTAACTATCATAACAGACAACCAGCAGAAAATAACAGCAACTATTGACATCTGAGAGACGGGAACCAGTTATAGAACATAAACATTACATCAATTACCAAGACAGCAACTATTAGTTGTTCACTGACCAACTAATGGATTAAACAACTAATTATTATAGCTCTTAAGATTTCTCTTCATTGGGACTAAGAGGCAGACAAACAATTTTTCATCCAGATGGTTAGAAGAGTCTTTGAGGATTCAGGAAATAGCTTCAGAACAGAGGTACTGCCACTGTTATTAAATTATTTTCTGGCTCTTTCAAAGATGTCTAGGTATAAACGTTTGCTTAGCTCTGTGACGCCAACATAATAGCAATATTTGGAGCAAAACAAACTGGGGGTTTGGCAAACCATGAAAAACAATCACAGACCAAAAATGCGTATCAGCATGGAGACAAGTGTGTCCACATACTTCTGGTCAAAAAATGTAACTCAGAGAGAATCAGAGGGTTTGTCATAACGACCAACAACTAGATCCAGTATATGATATCATTATTATGACTAATATGGATAAGGTCACAGACCATTAGGCGAAATGTGCGTGTCTATAGTTTATGATTTAGCTTACAGTGTTCTGTTCAAACTAATTACTGCACAGTAAAAGAATAGACAATTTGGGAAAAATAATCTATGGGATGTGCACTTTGAGCTCAAGAGTACAAGGAATAAAAAAACTATAGCTATTCAATGCTATATTAAAGGTGGGGTATGCAATTCTGGAGAAATCCAGCACCATGACAAATACAATGATATAGAGCGAACAATGACAAAGCAAGTAATTTAACTAACGTTTGCTGAAGTTAAGGGTTAGCAAATTTTAGCTACATTTGCTGTTGCGAAGCTAACATGAAGAGAGGACGAGACGGTCTCAGAGCCAGCGCACCAGCTCCAGACAGTGATTAGACCTTCAGCTAAATGAATAAATGTTAATGTTAACATCCCAACAACAGCATATGCTGGAAAACTAGAAAGTAAGCTAAATGTCCGTGGGCAAGTAATTTAACGTTACCTAAAATACAAATAATGTCTAGAACTGCTGGAATAGTGTTGTGTGACTTGGTCCGATCCACTTTGTTTTCCATTTACAGAGCCAGGGCTGCGCGCACACAGAACGGACAGCTAGCGGACCGTGAGGAGATATTCTCTGAATTTGAATTTTGAGTTGGATTAAACTCATCGCTTATCCCACCTTTAATGAAGGGCACAGATGGTAAACTGGTATGGAGAAATGCTGTTGCTGCGTTTGATCAGATAAAGACACTAATAACAAACTCTGGACTTGATGTTGCTTCACATATCTGACCACGAGCTTCATTTCTAACTGCATTGCCGACGATGTAGACAAGTCCATACTGAGGAGAAGAATCTGTGCCCTTCCAAACACCACTGCGTAGCCCTTCACCATTCTCTATGGTCAGCCCATATTTGGTCTTCAAAAGTCTAATAATTTTTTTATCCTGTATAAAAAATACAATATCAACACAAACAATACAGTACAGCTTGAAGTCAGTTTTATGTTAACACGAACAAACTTCCAGGTCAGTTCCGTAATGAGTTGTTTTTGGTATGGAATGGAAAAAAAGGAAAGGGGAAACAGTCTGAAACAGAAGGATAAAGACTCAAGGATGTCAAAAATACATCTGCTGTTACCTGATTGTGCTTTTCCCACCTCCTGAGGAAGTGTTGCGGGCATAGAGGATTAGAGATATAAATGCTCTGTATCTACTGAATCTCAGATGAGGCTCAATGACATCCACTGAGGGGGTGGGAGGAGGAAAAATAAGGGCAAATGGCTGATCAGTAGTCTGGGAAATAGAGAAACGTTTGAGGGACTGGGTCGGGATTACACGTCAGTTCATCTTCAGCGAGGGAGTCACGTCTCTAGTCTCTGTAGACTGCTTCAGTTGATATTTCTAGAAGGGAGCAGCTGTCAGGAAAACGTAGATAAAACATTAAAAAGAAGGCTGCCACCCCCTCCGCCTGGGTTCTACTGCATCTGGGAACTGCACACAAACAGCTACTCAAATATTTTTTAATAGAGGAGTGTGCGTACCTGCCGCACAGCAGTCAAACTTCAAAAACTCCAGGGTCCTGAAAACTAAAACTAACTTTGGGAAGATAAAGAGAAAAAAAGTTCTCCTTTTGGGGATCAGTTTAAACCAGCACTTTCAACATTGGTCAGGGCCGGTGTTGGTCCAGAGGAGTCCGGTGCTAGCCCAGCTGTATCTGACCAGAGTAGGTGGTGAGGAGGAGCATGATGGAGAAGCCCGTCAGCAGTCCAGCGTTCTGGATGGCAAAGGTGAGGAGGAAGCTGCTGCCGCCCGCGTCCTCTTCCTCACGACTCACCTCATTCATCTCTGGAAACTGAGAAGCACAAACCAGAGAGGGAAAGGACTTTTTAAACGTCTATATAACTGTGTAAATATGGTCTCGTATACATCACCCTCTTTGCTGAACAGTATTCCCTCTCTTTTCACCTTTGTTAGTAAGTAGGATCCTTTGTCTACAAAATCGTCATCGTCACAATCGTCATCATTCGGCAAAGGCCTGGTTAAAATTTTACATCGAACGCACGGGGAACGGAGCGAAGATCAGGGCTCTGCTGAACATAGCTTCTCCCTGTAGGGAGGATTTCCCAGAGATAAGCCGGCTTCTGTCCGAATACTGCTTCCGTCCCATCTGGGGTGCCAAATTTCCCCGCAGGCAATATCAAACAATTCAAAGAACAGCTGAGCACAAAGGTTTTAGGAAATTATCAGGGTAACGGTTAATTTATTTATGTCTTTTATATATAGTGTTTTTTTTTATACCTTACTGACACCATAGGATGCTCAAGTTTAGTATTACTTACTAAGACCTTAATATCCTATATTTGTAATGAATACAGAGCACAAAGGGTTTAGGAAATTATCAGGGTAAATGTTGATTAGTTTAAACCTAGCAGGTGACAATATTGCTAGATTGTCTGTTTAAAACTGCCCATGAGTGTCAGATATTGTATATATGGTATTATGTGGTATGTGATGAAATATGACAAAACGCTCATTTCGGTAATCAGAGCACTGGGAATGGGGAGAGAGGGTGACCTCTAAGGCACAGAAGGGGGAGGCTGAATGAAGATGATATTGCATATGGCACAGATGGATGATTAACAAGGGTTTACACTAAAATCTTAAAGAATGAGGTTGAACTAACAGAGACTTAACAGCCACTCAGGGTCAGAAATGGAACGTAAACTGTCTGTGTTATTGGACACTGTGAGCTCTGAGGTTAAAAGAGGGCGAGACTGGTTTAGGACATGCTACTGTCTAGTCACAGCTATCTTAGAGAGATTGTGGAGCAAAACAACTACAGACAAACTCAAAATATCAAGCTGTACAACACTATGTGAATAATACTATGTGAATAAATGAAATACTGTCTTGTAATTGTCTCCATAGTAATAATAAAAGCATGCATAAAAGATTAAATGTAAGAGGAAACACTTCTGCCATACCAATAACCAAAGGAAAGTCGAATCAGTAGGCATGCTCCTTACTCTCCAATACTCTGATTCTCACTCTGATTTTACATGTCAAAGTCAAATTACTAGTCATGTGGAGTCCTACACAGTCTGAGAAATCAGTTGCATGTCTGATTAACAATGCGTGGGTAGATGGCGATTGGGAATTTGCCCTACAGGGAGGGTATAACAAAGACGTCATCGCGGTTGCTTTAGTCCAGTGTTTGTGAGGCTTGACCCACACTATGCATAAAAGTCAGGATCATTTCCTCAAATGTACATGATGTGACATCACCATGAGTACCTGGTCAAGACAAAAATCTCTTCTTTACTTTCCCCAACTACAAATGTGTTCAAGTGTGTGGAATTAAAGATGAGATCATCTTGTAACAAGTTTAACATGAAGTCTGCTGTCTTAAGAGAACCTTAAAAAAAACAAACAACGACAACATCCCTTTCCTCAAACACTGACCATGTCTGCCAGAGCGATGTACAGGAACATTCCCCCAGCCAGGGCAAAGATCCAGTTGGGGGAGAAGCTGTTGCCGGCCAGGATGCCAAAGCCCATGCCCAGGTAACAGCAACAAGCCGACAGGAAGTTAAAGAACAGAGCCTGCTGTATACTCATTCCAGCGTTCAGCAGGATCACAAAGTCTCCTGAAAGAGAAGCAGAATGACAGAAAGAGAATAAATATATCGAAGAGTTGTCTGCGCAATATGCACAATACTGCAGATTCAATCTGCCAAGCACGTATGTTTCAACCCAGCGACCCAACTCACCCAGCTCGTGGGGAAACTCCTCACACAGGATGGCCACTGAGGTGCTGATGCCCTGGAAGATGGAGGCAGTGAAGGAGGCGCCGATGGCCAGGCCGTCGATAAAGTTGTGCAGGCCATCACTTAATGTGATCATCCAGGCCAGTGTGCCGATGTCAGAGTAGGACGTACCCTTCAGCCAGTAGCAGCCACCACCGCTGCCGGACCGCCCCCCGCTGTCTGGGTTCTGGGAGTCCTGGGGTGAACAGAGTGAGGGAGACCCATTTGATGTAAATACATGTGGAAAAAGCAGCAATATATGCAAATATGACTTCATGAATAAGGATGTGTTTATCAATTCACATGATAGCTAGGATATAAATACAAAATCTTAAGTATTTTATATTTTGAATTTGGATGAGTTACCAGGTGCATTTAAATCAGGGCTCCATACGTTTGTGCTGAGCCCTCACCACAGGTTGAAAATGTAATGTCAGCAGTTCAACCAAAGAGAGATTTTCTCCACTTAACTCATCAGTTTGTGTCAGTGATGAAAAGCAAATTACTCAGAAAATAAAAATGCATTAAGAAAAACAGACAATAACAACAATGACAACTAAACAAATCAAGTTCTTATTGTCCTCCATCCTCTGCCCCCACCCTCACCTGTGGTGTCTGTGCAGGACTGAGCATGAGCTCGCCCTCCCCTGCGTCCACCTTGCCCAAAGCCAGACTGCTGGCTTCCCCGTTCTGCTGCAGCTTCTCCTTTTCGCCCTCTTCCACATGATCTGCATCAGGGTAATGACTGTGACCGTGATTCTGAGAGAAAACAGACATCATGATGACACTCTCAACACTACACTACAAAATTACACATCTCACAAACATTTTCAAAACAAGTTGACGCTGACAGATTTGGAGTTGTTAATGGTCTTTTTAAAGAAAGAACAGCAGCACTGCACGTGCCAATTTGGTTTAAAGTATCAGCAAACTTTTGGCTCAAAGCACAGTAACCACAAGGTGGAGTAACTGTCTCACAATCACAATCACACACTCACTACATTCCTTGCTGCCTTTTGTGAACAAAATCCAGAGCAACAGAAAGCTGTATGAACATCTACAGCTTATAATTTCAGTAAAGGTGGTTTCTAAATTTAATTAAGAGGAAAATCTGCAAGTCAAAGCACCTTTGAGTTATTTATAGATCGGATTTTAGCTGCCAAACACCTGATAAACAAGCTGCAAAACACCTGCCACATACACTACTGCACTTAGGCAAGGCAGGCACAAGTGGCCAATGGACAAAATCAAGGTACACAGGAAAAGAACAAAGTCCATTTTAAATAACTTTGAAATCCAAACATGTATGCCAACTAACCACATTACATCACAGCCAAGAAAACATTGCTCCACGTATAACAGTTAAAGATATGAACTATGAAGTAAAATGAAAGAGATCTTCCTTCATAGATGCATTAATTTGGTACAAATGTGTAGCAGGTCACGAATCTGTGGACTTTCTGTGTAAAACGTAAACGGCAAATCAAAGGAAAAAGTGAATTCCAACCTGAAGGGGACATAAGACCACGTGTCTCATTTTTCATTCTACTACCGTATGTACAGTACTAGTTTTCCACAAGGGAGTGCATCTTCACTGTATGTAAACTCCTGAGGGCGGTACTGTGGCAATAACGTCCAGTCCAACTGGTTAAACATACCACTGATGCCCAGATAATACAACTAGGAACAAATAAATTGTGAATCATCATTGGGCAATCATCCAGTGAAAACATTTAATTACCTGACAACAACATAACAACCTGGCTTGGTGTGGCAATTAAATTAAATACAATTTTTCGCAATATTTAATTTCTCCTTTTTTTTGGAGTCCTGATTTCATACTCATCATACTGGGTTGAGTCTTGTGTGCAGACCTTGGATACAAGCTGTTAAACCAAAAAAAAAAAAAAAAAGCTCTGAGACTCACAAAATGTACAGTTTGTTGAGACTATGACAGAAATGTTGACTCACTGTAAAAGGTGCAGGTGGCTCCGACACTGTGGAATGCTTTTCCTTTTGACTTACATTATGCCGCTGTCTCCGCAGATGCCTTTAAAAACAGTGTGCAAACCTGTGCGTTTTAGGTTTGTTATTACTCGTGTTTTATGGACTGATTATTTTACTGTGTTTTTTTTTCACATTGTTGCATATGTTTTACTGTTTGATGATTATTTATTATTACTTTATGATGTTGTCGCTTTTGTTTTTTTTTATGTTTCTTTGTTTTCTTCCTCTTGTAAAGCACTTTGTTCTGTGAACGGTGCTGTAATAAATAAACTTTACTTGCCCACTTCTCTGGTCTTTAGCAGCTACCTACTTCAACAAACTTCTTATAAAAGTACTCATTGTGCAACTTTTGTAAAGTTGACACATATTGCTGTTATATATTTACCTTATGGATATGTTCATTGCTGCCACTGTAATTTGCCAGTTTCCCACCACCTGCATCTTGAAATAAAACAATATATTGCATCATTCTTGCTATGTACTCACCCTGTTTTTCTGTTTGAGAAGCACTCTGAGGACCTTTTCAGTGAAGAAGAAAAGGTAAAATCCTCCGAAAACGACCGCAGACTTGGACACGTAGAAATCCACCATTGGGTCAAACCCAAAGGCCTATCATGCAGGAAAGGAGACGGTGTTAGCTGGTGATGAATATTTATAGGCGCTGTTATTACATCGTGACTGCCTGACAGCGTCTCTACCTTATGTCCTTGTGTCCTCAATGTGCATATTTTTGAAATGAGGCATTACTTGAAAGAACTGGCAAATGTAACAATCATGATTTAGCAGGTTTTCTAAACAATTGGTGGTTGGTGAACTGTTTTGAACTCTGAGTCTAGGCTGTGCAGTCAGCTGACTGGAGAAAAGAGATAAGTTGAATTTATTGTTTTGTCAGGGTCAGCTGCTGATCAAAAGCAGTTTGATCTCAATAGAAACCTTCAACCTGCTGAATGTCTTTGGATGGTTTTACTTTTGTCCATAGGGTTGCACACGTGCAATAACTTCAAACAGAGCTGATATCCTTTTAAAATATCGTAGAGATTTTTCACTGCAGCCTCTAATCTGAGAGACAGGTTGAATTATATATGTAATTGTCTCCCCTCCAGTAGAGACAAACCTCCCAGAAATTAAACCACTTCAGTTCTGAGTTACACACGTTTTTTTCTTACTATTGATCCCATTCATGCAATGAATTACACAACAGCTGTAAATCTGCCCATGATAGGTGTGCACACAGTCTAGACAGCATTTAATGTGTTAAGAGAAATGCTCCAATTGGTGGGTTGTGCCACTCTGACTCTGAACTTCAGTCAGTGTACTGACATGTACCTTAACCTTAACTTCATATTGATGGAAGAATTTAATGAGGGCAAAAGATACAAGTACATTTCATAGCAAAATCTTTTCAGTAGAAATTTGACAATAGCCATATTACTTTTAATCTGTTTTTTAACGGTATAACAAAAGGCTTCAGACAAACAAAGTGGTAGTAGTCTGCAGCATCATGCATTACTGATACTCTTCAAATATGCCACCTTTGTTGTAACGCTGATTACTTATCAGCTGCATGTAAATGCATGTTTTACAGCAACCACATTAGTGCTATAACCTGATATCTGGCAATAACCTGGTTTTGTGTGCATTTAAATGTAGTCAGTGGCTTTATTTGTCTGGTATTAAACACACCTGCAGTTTCACAACGTTTCGAAACTGATATAAAACTGCTCACAAAGATCGAAAATGATCAATTCAGGAAAGTAATTCATAAATAAAGTAAATAAGTATTCACAATGAATAAAGGTCTCCATTTTAGCTAAATGTTTCCATTTTAGCTGTTGCTCAAATTTGAAAGTGTTTCCAGAAATATGCTTTAAGACTTTTGCATTACAGCATTCATCAGCAGCACTAAACAACCAATTGTTTAGTCAAATAAATTCCAGTTTTTAAATGCAAATTCACTTTGATTTGATAATTTAGTTGTTGTAGTTATTTTATCAATAAACATTTTCTATTTCACAATGTGCACCCAGTTGCCAGTTTATTTGATACTCCTAGCTAAAATGAACGCAGACTAAAGGCCCTTTCAGACATCGCGATTTGACGCAATGAAAAGTTGCTGTGGCATGATGCAAGCCATTGAAAATAATGGGTTTCAGAGAGCAGTGGTGTCGCCGTACAGTCATGCAATAAATCTTCCTTCAAGAAGGTTATAGTGTTCAGTTTTTGTTGAAACAGTTGTACAAAGATGATGACAAGATGTGACAGTTTTCAAGACACTGTCAGGTATTTCTATTATTTTGCCCATCCTATTTATATGAGGTATACAAAAAAATAAACTGCGATATAGGAATCAGGACAGGGCAATCAAATATTCGTTACGCTTTTTTCGATATGTAAAAATCAATATTCAATGGTCTTTCCTGAAACTGCATAGCAACCCCACACTGAGGCAAAGTCAAGGAGCTGCAGCTAAGTGAGTCACAGCAGCATCGACACTACCTCTGGGATGAGCTGAAACAGGGCGTTGGAGTAGAGCGTGCCAATGGCCAGGGCTATGAAGTAGAGCAGCAGTCGCTTGTAAAAGGTTTTCTTCATGAAGGGCACCACGCTCGCCCCGACCAGCGAACACAGAGAGATCAGTGTCACACACAGGATCCCATAACCCCAGACTGATCAACAGAGAGGGGGGAAGAGGAAGGAAGGGGGAAGGTAAGAAAAAAAGAGAGAGCTAGTTAGTTGAGAACTGATTTTATCAGATTAATCACCAAGGTAAGGAACACCAACCAGATCAGTCCCTGAAAAGAAAGGAATGAATTGAATGAAATCAACCTGAGAAAAAAAAGAGATGCACCTGCAAGTCTTTCCAGAGACAACAGGTTCATTTGTCCATTTAAAACAGATCAACAAAAGAGACACCACCTTTCATTTGCATTTGAAGATAATAATGTGTTGTCCTTTGAGGCAGTCCTAGAACCCCATGCATTTATTTTGATAGAGAGGGGAGGTGATTAAGGTGAAATTACAGTTTACTGAAACCTTGTGCAAAGACACATACATACTTTGTCCTAGTCCACTCAGGTGCATCTGCACCACTGTCCTAGCCTCAGGGTACACTCTAGCTATCACTGCAGACACTAAAGGGGGCACATGAACTTTAAATAGCTCAACAGTAGAAGAAGAAGCACTGCTAACAAGGGGTCACATTTCAATTTGAAGGACGTTTAAAGGGTACTGCACTCCATTTCTCCAGGATCGTCTTCCACAAAGTGAAAATGTAAGAATCCCAAAGCCAAAAAAACAGACACTGTTATGTTGAGTCTGTTTAGCTGTTCTACATGCTGCAGTGACAGAAGAGAGAGCCGAGTTATCTCGCCAAGAAAATCATCATACCTAGCCTACATTTCAAAGCCAAAACATTGAAAAGCGGACACAGACACAAACATGCAGTGCACACGAATACAGAAATACCCTCACATGATCTGTGATGCAGTGTGGGTAAAGCAAAACCAAAAAGCCTTCCACAGTGCTTATTAGAGGAAAAAACCACAGAGAGAAAACAAAGGCAGGAAGCAGTGGAAACAGATTTAACCAAGACAGACACAAAGGAGCACTTGGCCAAAGGTGCACTAGTTTTGTGAACAGCCATGTGGCACCACAGTGAACTAAAGAGGCCTATGACTGGTGTTAAATGGGATGTGAAAAGATGTATGGATAGATGGCAAACCTCTGGCAGGAGCTGCAGCACGGCAGTGGAGAACAGTGTGCCAATGGCAAGAGCGATGAAAAAGGTGAGAGCGTACTTCATATAACGCGTCTTCATGAGAGGCACGATGAAGACTCCAGTGAGGGAGAAGGCATTGATCACCGTCACACTCAGGAAAGAAAAGCCCCACACTGGTGGTTTGAGAGACAGGAACGTTGGATGGAAGAGGAAGGTGCAACATTAAAACAAACCGCCATGCATCCATGTGTGGCAATGTTGGCAAAAACACGTTGCCTAAAACCATGTTAGAAATACAAATACTGATCTCACAACTCTGTATATGTATCAGCTGTATTGAAATGCAAGCAAATAAAATAACACTTACTTGCATTTCAATGCAACAAATCTACATGCGACAAACATGTGATTTTGGATGTTAGGAGCGGATGTTATACATTTTTTAATAAGATACTCTGAAGCAGCAGAAAAGTACCTTAATTCAGTGGTTCTAAACCCAGGGTTTGAGACCCTGCCATGTGGTTGAAATAAATTACATATGTATGTATTTTATGTATTTAAATGCGTTTCTGACATTCCTGTTGTTTCCCGAGTACTGTGAAATACTGGAGCATATAGTAAAGTAGTAATGGTTTTTACCTCTGCTGGTCTCTAACCGCAATTCAAATGAAACAATTTAGAAAGGTGACAAGAGCATGAAGACATTGGTTTGCTTTTAAAAGGGGACAACTGCCTTAAGTGACACCTGTAGAAAAGAAATATGGTTAGTGCACACAAGTTCAATGTTTTGTGAATTTTTTGTCGTTTCAGGCTGTGGCACACATGAGGTCTATGGAAAAGATTTAGAAGTAAAATGCAGATATTTATGGTCTATCTGAGATAACTTTTCCACACTGAGAAACGAAACAAAAATTAGATGATAAGAACTGCTGAAGTCAAGTCTCTTGGAAAATAAGCATTTGATAATGTATAAAAAGGTACAAAAAAACTGACCAAACACGCTGTAGACTGTGATAAAATTAAGATGTAATCATAATTTGGCAAATAGGATAATACATATAAATTAAGAAATCAAAATCTAAATTGCCATCAAAAAATGGCCAAAGAGTCTTAACCACATATGTTATATTGAGAGAATGTGTCAAGTAGGGTTGGATGATGCCATCGTCTATCGGGGACAGACATCACGACATTGAGCCTGCATTGTGATTGTAAAACCTACCCCCCCCCCCCCCCGCAAAAACTAATTTCAAATGTTCACATTATACCACCCTGTGAAAGCAGCACACACTCACACCTCAGGTAAACATCCCCGGCTTGCCCCGCCTCTCTCTGTCTCTCTCCTCCCGTCTGCTCCATTTTCTCCATCCGCAGAATGTTTTATAAACTCGCCTAAAAGAATGAGAACTCTTTTCCGTATATTTCCACACGCGATACGCTATCACGGCAGCAGGTGAGCCTGCTTATTAATGACGCAGCCTATCAAAAAACTGAAACCAACATCTGTGTTCACCATTGCTTTACCTGGACTGTGCATAAAATATCCACCGCGACTTGTAACGCAAGTTAATTGTCTACCATTTTTTTTACTGAGTGAAGTCTGTGCGAGAACACATGCACATAAGACGAATGCTGCCTGATGACATCCTCCATTCTGATTTTTCATTGTAGACATCGTCCATCCCTAGTGTCAAGCAGCAGATGTGTGAGAAGACTTGTGAGAAGACTTGTGAGAAGATCTTTAACCAAGTCCAGTTGCCCTTGACTTTAACCTTCTTTGGATGAACAAAATGAAAACACATAAAAAGGTGCTGGTTAGGGGAGGGGTAGGTGTACTTCAACATGACCAGTGATATGTTTTGATAGTATGTGAGCTATTGGATCCCGGGAAGAAAAGAAACTGCACAAGTGTCACATTTAGATCATGAGAAAAGATCAGGATATACAAGCCAATGAGATCTGCAGTAGAGATTAATTTCCACCCATCGTCCTGCTGCTGGCAGATTTCCACAGCCTAGGAAAAAAACAGCTCTCTAGAAAAAATAAGCTGGCTACAAGGGCATGTGAGGCGAGCAGAGGGCATTTAAGTGGATGATAAGGGAAAACAAAGTTGTCAGTGGAAAGGGAGAGATAGAGCCAGAGCTCTCAGCCACCGAATCATTTCTCCTCTACCTGCCAAGGATGAGATAAACTGGGTTAAAAGTAAAAACTGAAATTTGTTGGCTGGCTTAGCAAGGCAACAGCACAATGTGATTAGTTTAAAAAGAATATGAAGCCATTGATGCCTTTAGTCAGAAGCTATTATTTTTCTTTTAGTGGGAACTTGTGAAGTACTACGAACATTCCTGAAGCTTTGCTGCATTCGAACATCAGTTCTGCTGCAGCTCTCGGGGCAGAACATCATACAAGTTGACCAAATTCGCAAAGTCTGTCATTAGCTAGCATTTCTATACCAGCCACATACCTCAAAGTCGATTTAGCTTCCATCCAACAAGAACTCAAAGGCTAGTTGATCAACAGGCTACGCTGCACTCCACATTTCCGAGAACTTCAGATTGGATGCGTATGCCAGAATGGCTTACAGGGCACTCAAGGACGGCCTACTGATTGTGCACAGTCTGCAGTCAGTATGGAGTTACAATTGGTCGGCAGCAAAGGAAAGAAGAGCAGTTTGTAACTGGGATGACTGTCTTTCCCTGAATATCTGGACATGCTGACTGAGGCCGGAATATGGAGTCTAAAGGAAGGGTTTGTGTCAATATGCCAAAATGAGAAATGCAATCTGAGCCCTGACTAACTGCTCCTGTTTATTTTGGCTTTCTTCTCCTGAGGGGACATCGCAACATGACTTTCTCTAGGCAACTGGATCTGGAGCTCTGAGGAAGAAATATGTTTTCAATTCATTGCATTAGATTTTCATTGGTAATATTTTAACTGAAAAAAAGGTTGTAAAAATGAGTACAGGCGCGAAATACTTCAAATATACAATAAACTGATCAAGAAGCTGTAAAAATATAAAAGTTTGACCAACACAAATACCATCAGAAATCTTAAAAAGTATATCAAAAAGTATACAAACACATTCAATATACAGACGTGCTCAAATTTGTTGGTACCCCTAAACAAAAAACGAAGAATGCACAATGTCCTGAAATAACTTCCTGACAAAAGCAATTAGCATCCACCGTTTCATGTTTAATAGAAATCAGATTTTGCTTTTGTTTTTCAACATCATTTTGTAAATAATAAAACAAATGAAAATAAAATGGTGAAAAAATGAAGGGACCCTGCACTTAACACATTGTTGCACAACCTATACAGGCAGTGACTGGAATCAAATGTTTTCTGTAGCTCTCAATGAGACTTCTGCACCTGTTAACAAGTTCTTTGGCCCACTCTTCCTGAGCAAACTGCTCCAGCTGTCGCAGGTTTAATGGGTGCCTTCTCCAGACTGCAAGTTTCAGCTCTTTCCATAGATGTTCGATGGGATTCATAGAAGGCCACTTCATAACAGTCCAATGTTTTGTTCTTATCCATTCTTCTGTGTTTTTGAGTCATTATCCTGTTGGAGGACCCATGACCTGCAACTGAGACAGAGCTTTCTGACACTGGGCAGTGCGTTTCGCTCCAGAATGCCTTGATAGTCTTGAGATTTTATTGTACCCTGTACAGATTCCAGGCACCCTGTATCAGGCACAGCAAAGCTGCCTCAAAACATAACAGAGCCTCCTCCATGTTATACAGTAGGTATAGTGTTCTTCTTTTCTTTACAAGCTTCACTTGGTTGTCTGTCAACATAGAGCTGATGTGAGTTGTCAAAAAGCTCTAGTTCTGTCTCATCTGTCCAAAGGACATTCTCCCAGAAGGATTGTGGCTTGCCAATATGTATTTTAGCAAATTCCATTCTGTCTTTTTTATGTTTTCCTTTCAAAAGTGGAGTCTTCTTCCATAGAGACCATTTTCGCTCAAAAGCGATGGATGGTGCGTTTAGAAACTGACGTACCGTCACCTTGGAGTTCAACTTGTATCTCTTTGGCAGTTATCCTCGGTTCTACCGTTCGCACTATCCTTCTGTTCAATTTGGGGTTGATTCTTTTCTCTTGCGGCCGCACCCAAGAAGGTTGGCTCACGTTCCTTGAACTTCTTAATAATATTTGCAAATGTTGTCACAGGAACATCAAAGTGCTTAAATATGATCTTGTAGCCTTGACCTTTACCATGCTTGTCAAATATTTTCTTTCTGACCTATTCAGACAACTCCCTCCTTTGCTTTCTCAGGTCCATGTTCAGTGTGGTGCACAGATGATACCAAACAGCACAGTGGCCACTTTCCTCCACTTAAATAGGCTGACGTGTGTGATAACAAGCTAAAGCAATTAATTAGTTTAGAATATCACTATATTATTATTTATTATTTAAAAAGGGGTAGCAACAAATGTGTAGAATATCTTTCTAGAATGAGCAATAATTCATCTGTTTTGACAGCTTTTTCTTTATTCTATGACATAACAAAGGCATGCAAGTATAAATGGTGCATAAGCTTTTAATTTCATCACTTGTCAAGAGGAATTCATTCTTTCAATAAAGTAAGTGTACCAACAAATTTGAGCACAGTAAAGGATAAGGCTGACGATATTCTCTTTTGTTATTGTCAAAAAACAAATAACAAAAAAACAATGCCAAAATGTTAGTCAGTCTCTCAAAACAAAGCCCACAGGTGCCTACAGAAGATGAAATGCTTTTGAAAATGGTTCTTGAATATAATCTTTCATTTAAAAATTTGGACACTAGCTTCAGCAAACGCAAAGAAGAGTAAATCTCACATGAGTTGGGGGCAATTTTCAGCTGCAGATTTGGTGCATTAGGAGGGTTTACGGCACCAGGACTCAATGTGGGATTGAGTCAAAATAAACAACAGTAGCAAAGCTCAATATAATGACAAAACATGTTATCCAATGCAACATTGTGGCTCTCTGATGTGTTTAAAATAGTTTTTGGAGCTCCTTGGCTACACAAACAGTACTTGGACAAATTCATGGTTGGTTTTGGCCTTTTCATTGGATTGAACAAGAAACATTAATTAACATTATTAACTGGATGTTCACAACAGGAAATAAAAAAACAAACATGTTTAGTGTTAACAAGATAGACAAATAGCTAACATTTTATACTAATGTGCAGTAATGTCAGTGCTCACCTTCAGCGTCTGTGGGCCTGGGGGAGGTGTCACTGCTCGGCTCCTCCTTATTTTGCACTCTACAGGTGCCTGCATCCAACTGCTGCAGCATGGTGGGGCACAGCTCCTGTAAGCCCTGCCCATCCAACCGTGAATGCTCGCTGATCTTGTAAATAGCCAGCGTGTCCGTAGGCAAGCACTAGAAATGAAAACGTATACATTCAGTGATAGGTCAAGTGCTTTAAATTCTAACCCGACACAAGGTGGGCAGTTTCCCATTTGAATGTAATTTAGCTTTAAAAAAAGATTATACAGGCACAGAGATACAGACAAAATTTAGTCTGGAGTGATCTTTTTATTTTGTGCCAGTGCTCGGTAAATGTAAGATTTTTCACGTGAAATCAGTCAAGTAGTCTTTTTAGTTTGGTACACAATAATACTTCACTGAATCAAACTACTATCAATTTATCTTAAAGAGCTGCTTATTTTGCGACACAGTGACCAACCTAATCTATTTCAGAAGAAAATATTACAGAATTGCTACTGAAAAAGAGTTACAGTATTTGACACTGCATTGAATTTCACCACAGACCAATTTAGAGGTGGAACAACTAAGAGATTCATTGATAGAAAATATTTAGAGAATTGATTCATTTCTAAAGCAAAACACCAAATTCTCAAATGTGAGAAGTTTCTAATTGTGTTTGCCATAAAATTCCTTGAGATTTAAACAAAATATCATAGGAAATTAAAATGTTCACTAATGTAGAACTGGATAAATACAGATAGAGAGGATGCCTAACAGCCAAGGAAGATAGGAGACATACAGTAATGTCAACTTCTGAAATTTGAGGTATCCAACCTCAAAATTCACACTGAAAAGTCAAAAGAAACTTTATCCGTGGTACATATTTCATTTCTAAACTGAGAGACAGAAACCAGTTGGAATTTAATCTCCTGAATACAAAAAGTGAAGCTGAATCAAACACAGGTGGGCTTTTGATTGTGACTCACTACATAATTAAAGTGATGAATCACTGAAAATTTGAGTCCATAACAACAGCAAGAAATATATTCAATATTCTATTCAATGATTATGTTTTCAGCACCAATAACAAATCCTTATTTCCTTTAAGGCAGCCAAGAAATTGGAAATCAACGTGTTCTGTGATGAATAGCCTCCTCTGAATCGTGTTTAACAACCTTTGCATCCATGTCAAACGTGACTGAACAAGTGATTCACTAAATGGGGAGCAGTGACATTTATTGACCAAAGGTTGCTGTTCTCAGAGTCACACTCTTATACAAACAGAAATTGACAGTTTCTATTTTCATATTTGTAACGGTAAATACAGAACACACAATGCTGTGTGTCCAGTGCAACATCCAACATCTGAACTATAACCTCTTGTTCCATTTACTTTCTCAGAAGTGTTAATAACTTCGCCACAATTACTCAGGGTAAATCTATTCAAAAGCAGATCAGCAAGTGAGTCAATCATCCCTGACACTAAGCATGGGAAATATGCTAAATATTTCAGTTATCTGGCACCAGTGGCTCCTGCTTCTTTGACAGAGGACTAAAGCTGGAGTTGCCCAGGAGTGTTGTGAGGCTGAGAGACTCCATAAATGCACTCTTACAAGATTCTGTTAGTGGTAGAGATTGCTGATTATAAAGATAACAGGTGCTTTAGGTGTGTTTTCTGTCTCTTTCTGCTTCTAGCTTTCAGGTCCTGCCCGATTGCTCAGTCACACCTTCCTAATTGAGAAACCTTCACCTGTTGGGGAGCAGGATTTGTTGTGAGACAACCACTTCGTACTCATGCTTGTTTTCTTTGGTTTGGCTCGATTTTAACCTTCCTTGGATAACTATGACCTGGATGTCTATGAATCTTCACATACTTCTTTTGTTTGGATATGTTTGGTTTATCTATTGTTAATACAACATGTGTAAATAAGATTCCCCTCATCTCTACCATACCAAGTTGATGAAAGAAGGTAAACACGATTACTCTGGGTATATGACAATACTTTGATCTCAAATACCTCTACAGAGAAGGATAGCTCCAGCTTAAGTTATGCTGCCTACACTAGACCTATAGGTCTTCAAGGGTCTGACATTTTGGAATCGATCCAAAAATTGACAAATTGAACACCAACCCAAACAACGTGCTTAACTTTTTCTTTTTTTTTTTTTTTGATTTGCATGATTTTGTTAAGAGCCATTGTAATGAAACTCATAAAATATGCTTTGTGCACTTACAAGTGCGTATCTCGTGTAGGACAGGAAGGTACTGATGAACAGTTTGAAAAAGAGTGGGATAGACACTAAGGCTGAACAATTTGGGGGAAAAAAATCTAATTGCGATTTTTCAGCCAGATATTGCGATTATGATTCGATTTGCTAAAGTTTTGCTAAAGTTCAATATTCACTGCCAGTCTATTTTTGACTGAAGCCACGTCAAGCAGCACAGAACAGATGAACCAGACAGGAAGTCAGACACAGAACGGCATAGAGAATCCAGTCGATATTCAATATAAAACACCCTTTGCAGACTCCCGATCATCATACATCAACAACATACACAGTCATAACAGACCAAAAAGATACAATTTAACTACAAAGCCTACTTAACCATAGTAGAAGCACAAAAATCAAGGACAACTGAACAAATAAGCAAAATTTGAATAACTCAGCAAAATCAGACAAGCAAAACACTCTTATTCTGAAATGCTCCATATAGGATATGTAGCCCACACAAAGCAGAGCGGAATGGGCTTACAGAGAGCGGTTATCCGTTGTTGAAGCACACAAAATGATAAATTAACAACATGTTAACAACGTGTAGGTTAAACGCTGTTGAAACACTTCAGTGTGAGTTGACGTCGGACAAAACTGCGGCACAGTCGCTGCCTGTGTCTGTTTGGCTAGTTTTCCTCTAGTTTTGTTTGTTGTTGTAAAAATGTACCCACTCTGATTGGTGAGCAGGACCGTTACAGGAGGCGCATGGCACTTGTGATTGGCGAGCAGATCTGTCACACAAGGATGACAACGGAATGAATGCGCTGTATAATTTAGCTACATTTTAATTGCCGTCTTCACAATTAGCTAATCGTGTTCTTTAAAATCACAACTTCCATTTTAAAACAATTAATCGTTCAGCCCTACTAGACACAGGTCATGAAAGGTTTCAAGCTAATGGTATCATGGTCGCAGAGGATTTTGTTGCTTTGCTTGTTGATTTAAGTGAGACGCAGAGGAAAGACATAAAAGAGTGTCACAGTGTTCTGTGACACCAATTTAGTCGCAGGTCAAAAAGGTCAACTACAGGGTGGGAGTCAGCAACCATTTTTCCTAGTACACGTTGAGTGCTAACAGAACAGTTCAATTGGCGGAGTTATCTTTCACCATGATCCATAGTTTTGTGATGGACACCCCTGAGTCTAAAAATACCCATTCAGCATTGGAAGGGGTTCCTAAACAGCTATAAATTGTGGGTTTGATCAAGGTGCCATTCCATTGGGTGTGGTTCCTAAATCAGATTGCCTGCCCAACAAACGACAGTATCCTCTGAGACGCAATGCAGGGGAAGGCTTGACTCCCATCAATGTGCAACTCTTGAAGGATAACATTATTGTTCCATGCCTGACATCTCCTTGTAACACTCCACTTGTTCATCAAGTTCATCACTTATTCATTCAAAGCTGATGTGTGGTGAGCGTTCTGGCGCTAAATGGCTGCCGTGCGTCACCCAGGTGGGTGCTACACATTGGTGGTGGTTGAGGTGAGTCCCCCCCATTTCACTGTGAAGTGCTTTGAGTATCTATGATAAAGTGCTATATAAATGTAATTCATTATTATTATTCATGTAAAAAAAAGCTGATGGCAAATCCTAGCAACCTGCTCATGAGCTGCGTGTTGTAAATGAGGATGTGTCGTACCCAGCCCATCCACAATTTTGTCTTCTGTGCCTGGCTATGCAAAATGGTTTACTGTAATGGATATGGCCAATGCTTTGTTTTGTGTCCTAGTCTATCCGACATCGCAATACTGGTTTGCATTTACCTTTAAAAAGGCAAGAAATCTATTTGAGGGCTTAAGGATTTTCAGAATCCCTGTCCCCTTATTCAGCTTATCACAGGACAATTTGGTGTGAGTGGTTACTGTTTTTGTTATCAGGATGGAAGTCCCACATATGCATTTAAAGGTGAAGTGTTGAAAACAGTGTTCATGAATGTGGTTTAATGTATGGAATATAGAGGGGAATACCCTGTTATCCATACTGTTCAGGGAAATGAATGAACTGTGACAATAGGGGAAGGTCTTACTATAGGACAAGACTGTTGGTGGATCTTGTTTTATGTGGCTGATCTGATTTCTTGCCTAGGTATTGGTCAGGATGCTGTTTTTTATGGTAATTTAACACTGCCTGTAAATTTGATGCGAATGACAGAACACCCTTGTTAAACTGGTTTGAATGAGACTCTTTGTTAGGATGCCTAAACCTCTTCCTACAGATTTCATATCTCCAGCAACTTTTGGTCATAAAATCCCCTGGTATGAGAAAGTGGTTTATTTTTTCTATCCACAATAACACTTTAGCCTTGCATGTAGATAGTTTATCTTATTCTACGTGGGGTTTTGCAAATGCTATGTAACAGGTTTCTCGCTCATTAAGGATCCTTTAAAGTCTTGTAGACTGACCTTCTAAAACACCAGCAAGCTTTTGATATTCTGTTAGCTAGGACTGGAGGTTTATGTGCAACTTGAAATTTTCTGATGGTTCTTGTATGACTTTAATTCCAGATGCTACAGATAACTTGACAAATGTTATGTCTGCTTTGAGCCATTTCTGGTCTGCTCTATACACTAGGTACAGTCTAGGTGTGGTCCATGGTCTACATCGCCAGGTCACGCAAGATGACCTGTACGCAGGAATGTAATGTTGTCTATCATTTGGACATAAGAGGACGCACTAAATCTATTATGTTAAGTATTTTAATTGTATGCCATTGCTTCTGTCAGTATTAAGTGCCTTAATCAGTGTGTAATGTTTTTAGGTTGATATTTGATCATTGATATTTGAGGGCTGATATAACTATACTCAGAAGGCCCACTGTCATTATTATGCCTTACCATATATATATTACTGTGTGTTCTTGTTTCTCTACTCTTTGAAGATAAAGGATTAAATTTTGAGTAATGATATGTATTTTATTACATTTAATGGTTAAAGATGGATTAATTTACATTTAGCCATAGTGAAGTTTACGAACCTCATATATGAAGGTAGATGAGTTTCGTGGGCAAATGTTTAAAGATTATAAAAAGGGGGGCATGGGAAAGTAAAATAGTATAAACCATTAGTTTTATCATTTATTCATTCTATTATGAAACTATGTTATGTGCTCTTATCCAGGTTTAGTTATGATCTCTGGGCATTACTGTGCTTAATTGTCCATATTTGGTCATGCTTCAAAATGTGTACAGTGTACGCAGAACAAACACATACAGGGAGAGAGAAAGAGGGGAGCCAAGCTGTTGTGTTAGCAGTGTAATAAGAGACTAAAGGTGAGGACTAAAGGGAAAAGCAAGGTGAGCAGATTCAAATAGTGAGTAAATACTAAAACAGTAGAGCTGGCCCGAATGTCATTTTTTGAGCTTTCTCCCTTCGATAGTAATTAAGAGCGAATAATAATAATAAATAATCCGAGCAGGTCCAGAGCAGAATCCGGGAATAGTTTCGCCGGGCGGGGGTCCAGGCGGAGAGCGCACGGGATGAGCGGTGTTTCCGGTAGCAGAACTAAATCTAACACGTTATAATGCAAAAATTATAGCGACTAAATGCTCTTCTTCTACAAATGGCCTAATTCCAGCCTAAAGTTTACTGATTAATTTTAAAATGTAGGAAATTTGACTGTTTTGATCTGTAATGAAATTAAGCAATTGGAAAATTAATAAACGCCATAACTTCCACACTACTGCTGTCATCACTCAGTTTAAAGTGCTGCCACACAGCTGAGTGTTGTGGTACTGCACAATCTCCCCACTACCTTGTGTTCTTTTGTTCCCCCCTTCCCTGTGTTTTCTGTCTGTCCTCCCTGTCTGTGTTTGTCTGGGCGTGGCTACACTCTCTGGCTCCAGCGGCGCACCTGGTCCTCATTCCACTAATCAAGCTCCTGCAGGATTTCAACCCCAGTCCTCCTCACATTCTTCGCCAGATCGTCAGTTAACCACATGTGGTACATGCGTCAAGGCCAACTATCTACTCCAGTAAGATTCCTTGTAATTTCTGTGTCTCCCTGGATTAACCGGTTTTTCTCTGTGCCCAGGATCACACTACCTCCAGGAAATCTGCTGAACGCCACACCCCGCTCTGCTCACATCTTGCCTGGGCAAACTCCCCTCCTCCGTGTTCTCCATTCTGCCCTGTTGGAACCTACCACCCAGTCTTCCGCTGCACTTTTCAATAAAACCCTTCGGACTGTTCCGAGTCTGCCTTTGAGTCCTTAAGTTCTTGTATTATGACAGCTGAGGGCTACATTTCGTTTTCCCTTTGATGTGAACTGGAGATTACGTTCACTGCTGTCGGCGGAGGTCAGGCGCGTGGAAAAAAAACCTCAATAATCGAATCTCATAATTGAAAATCGAATGTGTACCCAACGGTCAAATATTTGAATTTTCGGGTCCAGCCCTATAAAACAGTAAAATAAGGTGGAGAATGAAGTAGTATTAAAATGGTAAAATAATAAAAATACGAGTATTTGTTTGTTTTGTATTTCTCTGTAATGTATCACCGTGTTACTTGTAACATTCTTTCTCAGCCCTGTAACTCAAACCATTTTCAGATGCACCAAACATACATATTTAAATTACTTAATTTATAATCATAAACGACAAGTCGACTAATGGTTTGAACTAACAACTACTTGTTGACTGGGAAAATCTTTAGTGGGGGGGGGGGCTAATAAATATCTCGGTTTTTATTTTTGTCATCTGTATTTGTCCTGTTTATTTTAACTTGTCTGTAACTCAACATCATTGCAAATGAAGGCAACCTCATTGGTTATTTCAGTTTTAATAAAGTTTGAAATTAATAGATTAAATTTACACATGTTCTATCAACCACAATGGAGCACCCTCAAAGTGCTAACACAAAATAAGAGAATGTTTTCATTCTTACCTTGGAGCTGTTGGATTTGGGAGGTGTGGTTGTAGGTTTCTCAGCTACAATGCTGCTGTCGCCGTCGCCTTCATCCTGACCTTTGCTAAGGAGGGCCAGCAGAGCGCGCAGCTGGGGCACCGTGATGGTGCTGTTGTCTCCATGGCGGGACAGCAGGTCCTGGAGCACCTGAGCAGGTGACTGTGTCTCACTTTCCCCCTGACCTGTCACTCGGCAGAGAAGCACAGCCAAGGCCAGAACCAACATCAGCTGGGACTGGAGGAGGGTGATGATCATAGTGCCACGGCCATGAGCGGACCAGATAAGCATGGCTTCTTCACAGGCTGGAGGATGTCGATCTGAGGGGTGAAGGGGAGACTAAATATTTAAACCAAACTTTTAAAACTACAGACAAAAAAAAAATAACACTGCTCTATAAACCATGAATTTGGTACTATTTCTTACACTTGGTACTGATTCTGAGAGCTCTTACTGTACCAAATGCAGTATTTTCAAATTTCCTGTAATCACAATCCATAGAGTGCCAACTAGGGGCCTCCTGCTATGTTTTTTTCAGGGCCAATACCGATTATTAGTAATCAAGGAGACTGATGGCCGATATTTGTAATCACTATACATCAGAGGTGCTCAGTGTGGTCTCCGGTGAGAGGGCTTCTGTTCCTCTCATGAATTGCTGAGACTTCAATAGCAACATGCTCACTCAGCTGCAGATGCTTTGGCTCAGATGCAGAGGGCTGCATCAGAGCCAAAGTAATGCATTATTTTTTTTTATTTATCTTATCTGCAATCTCATTTTAAAAATACTGATTCCGATAATTGGAAAAATGCTAAATATCTACACCGATAATTGTCCATGTCAATGAGTATAAACATGTCTTTCTAAGTGTTGGAAATTCACTGTGACATGCTCTGTGTGTGCTCTGCAACATGACAAAAACAGATATGTACGAATCACACCAAGGGGGAACAGGAACCAGAGTCCGATTTAACAGCTCTTAAAAGCACAGTTGTGAAAAAAGCCTTAAGTAATATCTCATCAATTAATAAGTAACAAAAGAAAGAATTTGATGAAGCATTTTGGTGTCAAAACATTGGTACTCAAAAGTTTCAATTACTCTTTTTAAATTGCTCACAAAAGGACTAAATTTATTTTGCAGGGTGCAGCTTTAGATATATAAATATCAACTTCAGCACTGAGCCAAACCCACATTTCTGAAACTATATATGAAAAGAAAGTAATTTCGTAGCCGGCAGTGGAAGCTGCAAACATCCAATTCAGCTGAGGAACACAGCACATTGTCAGCCAATACGATGACGTTTCAGCCACTGAGAGCTTAGAAACTCCGCCTTGTGACCAAAAAACATATTGCTTAACACACCACAGTCCAGGAGAGTCCAAAAAAAAAAAAAAGAGACAGAGCCTCCCCTGTTTTTTTATATACTGCTGAGACGCCCTTGAGTAAGGCACTCAGTGGCCAACAATAAAAATCTGTCTGTACTGGCCAGCTCTGTGGAAATGTGAGACGATATGAATGGAAAGCAGAATATTTCAGTCAAAAAAGTGCAACCACACTCAGTCGCCTTTCCCCTTTGATAAAATACAACTTTCAAAAAGGCCAGTCTGTCTGCTCTCTCTTACTTCTAATTTGAGTTCAGTTCACCAACCCCCCCCCTCCCTCTAGGTCTCTGAGGTGAGGAGGCAAAGAGAAGACTCTTCAATAAGTCACCCTGTCCCCATCTTCCTATACTTTCTCTAATGAGGCCATATCCTGAAGCGGCAGGGGAAACAAGTTGCAAGTGCTATCAGCTTATGTCATAATGTGCTGCCTGTTTTCAACTAAGTGTGGAATTGGGATTTAGTGAAAGTTTTAAGTTACCCTGACAATAAAAAAAATTTTTTTTAAAGAAATTATTTAATCAGCCATTGTAGGCAGGAAAATATTAAGTATTTCGACTAAATAAATGCTGAATAAAGTGAATTAGTGATAATGAAACATTTTTTCCAACCCTGACACAACCTTTCATGTACACACAACACACACAAGGCAAGCTGTAATGTTCCCGTCCCCTGCTCCAACTCACAGAGCACCTTTTCATTTCAGTACTTGCTGCAGGTACACATTCAAATTTGGGCTCACCTTTTCCTACAGAGCCTCTAATGACAGCTGGTGCATAAAGCCCCTAAGTCAGTCTGTCTGCCCTGAGGCTTCAAGCGTGCTGACTGAGTAATGCCCACAGGATTCACAGGAGCAGAGATGGTGTTAGGGAAACAGCAAGTGGAGAAGAAGAAATGCCTGAAGAGAGCAGTATGCTGCTCAGGAGTTCAGTGGACTGTGGAGGAGAGAGGGAGAGATAAACAAAGGTTACGATTCACCAGTGAGGAGGAAAGAAATAGGAAAGGATGGAAGAAAAGAGACATTCAAGGAGAAAAGAAACTTGAAATGGCAACTTCAATTTTCTGTATTCACTCTACCCATCGACTTGCAAAACTTCAGCACCGAGCCAAACCCACATTTCTGAAACTATATATGAAAAGAAAGTAATTTCGTAGCCGGCAGTGGAAGCTGCAAACATCCAATTCAGCTGAGGAACACAGCACATTGTCAGCCAATACGATGACGTTTCAGCCACTGAGAGCTTAGAAACTCCTCCTTGTGACCAAAAAACATATTGCTTAACACACCACAGTCCAGGAGAGTCCAAAAAAAAAAAAAAAAAAAAAAAAAGAGACAGAGCCTCCCCTGTTTTTTTATATACTGCTGAGACGCCCTTGAGTAAGGCACTCAGTGGCCAACAATAAAAATCTGTCTGTACTGGCCAGCTCTGTGGAAATGTGAGACGATATGAATGTAAAGCAGAATATTTCAGTCAAAAAAGTGCAACCACACTCAGTCGCCTTTCCACTTTGATAAAATACAACTTTCAAAAAGGCCAGTCTGTCTGCTCTCTCTTACTTCTAATTTGAGTTCAGTTCACCAACCCCCCCCTCCCTCTAGGTCTCTGAGTTGAGGAGGCAAAGAGAAGACTCTTCAATAAGTCACCCTGTCCCCATCTTCCTATACTTTCTCTAATGAGGCCTTATCCTGAAGCAGGGGGGGGAAACAAGTTGCAGGAGCTTTGAACCTTGCCCTCCTTACTGCTGGCTGCTATTGTTCATGGCTTAAGGATCACCCTTGGAAAGTAAAATGCCACGTCACATAAGTAAATTTAGCAACTCGCTCAAGAGTTACCCCTGTACAACAAGCATAAACATGTAAACCTGCAGAAAGTGATATTTTAATCTGTTCCGTCCACAGGCTCTCATGCTCTACGTTTTACATGTTAATTATTACAAACCAGCTAAAACAAAAGATGTCGTCTAACTGTGGAGCTTAGTTTGCCACATACCTTAAAATTTGACAAATAGTTGGAAACTCAGCTGCTGGCTGAGACAATCCAGCTGCTCCTCCTTCTAAAAAAGGTACCTGCAGGCAGTGAATCACAGCAGCAGCAGAGGGAGGAGGAGGAGGAGGAGGAAGGACTGATACTGATTGATTCTAAACATCACTCAATATTCTGATGTCAGGAATATGATTTATTATGATGATTTATTTTATTGACATTTTAGATTTGTTGAATAGTGACACTGCTGTTGTGAACTTTACTGATGCTGCTCTAGAAACAATCAACCGCTTATCCTGCGTGCAGGGTCACGGGGGGCTGGAGCCAATCCCAGATGACACTGGGCGAAAGGCGGGGTACACCCTGGAAACGTCGCCAGTCCATCGCAGGGCCACACATAGACAAACAACCACGCACTCTCACATCCACACCTAAGAGACACCAATTAACCTAGCCTGCATGTCTTTGGATGGCGGGAGGAAGCTGGAGCACCCGGAGAGAACCCACGCGGGCACAGGGAGAACATGCAAACTCCACACAGAAAGGCCGGGGCAACCAGGGTTTGAACCTTCTTGCTGTGAGGCGACAGTGCTAACCACTGTACCACCACGCAGCATAACATATTTGCTTTTAAGCAATTATTTAGTAATGAAAAAGAACTGATATCAATAAAGAACCGACACGATAAGGAGTATCGCTAAGATCCTAACAACGCCATCTCTACTCCTGAGAAAATGGCAGCAGGTAAAGACAAAGTTTTAGATTATTTGTCACTCACAGTTACCAGTCCATCTCTAGGGACAAGGAGTGGGAATTGCCATACCCTTGTCATATACTGCGATGTTATACGTTTTCTCTCAATTCACTTGCAAAGCCAATTCTTTTTCCATAAAACAACACAAGGGAATGTCTGTTTTTGTCTAATCAGCAGACTTTATCATTGAAACTTCATCACATGCATGCAAAAACCCGACAAATGCAATATTACCAAAGTCTAGTTCTTACCACTGATTTGCAGCCTTTGACACAACCAGATATATTAAAAGGGATAGCTCAATTAAACTGAGGAAGCTGATAACCCTGGAAATAAGAAAGACTACTGGAAATTCTGTCTCTGACTTATATTCTATTGTTTTTCAGCAATGTTTATGCTACTATCTAAGTCAATGTGACTTACCTGGTTAAATAAAAAGAGAATGTAAATCTCTTTCATCTCAGTATAGGTAGGCTCATATCACCCCAACCTACTTGAAGCTTTTTCCTCTCGCTTTTTCTAGCAGTGTAGCTGTTGTAATCTACACTGGACAAGAGTTTCAAAAGTGGATAAACACTCACCAATAAGGCCTCTCCCTCTGACACACGGGAAAGCAGCCAGAGGTAAAGTGATATCTCTCTCCTCTTCCACATTTATTTTTCATTAAGGGAGAGGCGAAGTGGGTCAGAAAATGTTCAGGAGCGACTACGACTAAAGGCAGCAGCACATAAAAACAGGCACACTGTGGATCAACATGTGCCTTCTTAATATGGTTACGTTTAGGGACAACTATGATGCAATCACACAAATACCACACACACACACACACACACAAACACGCACGTTAAAGTGCAATCAATCTGCATTTGGGAAATAAGAGTTTATGGGAAATGTGATGTGTTAAAAGAAACAAAAAGCTCTTAAAATACCAACAAGCATGAACAACGCAACCTCTCCGTCAGTGTGCAGGTCTACAAATCAACCACTGAGTAAATGGACCAATTCCATGTTACTACGTTAAGCTTACTTTGTGGAAGGCCTTTTCTCAATTAGATATAATCTTCCGAGATGGAAATACAGTGGCCAAAGTAATGATAGTTGTTACTTTTATTTATTCATTTCCTTCTGTCATTATGGGGCACAACTCAGCATGTATCCATGCATATCAACACACCTAATGTAAAATGCCTTTGCACAGACATACGTCCCAGGTTTTCCTATCAATAACTTAGTTACTAACACAGTTTACACACTCACATGTTTTTTGATTTATTGGCCCCCCTACTCTTTGATGTCTTGTCTTTTCATTCTCACACAATATTCACATTTAAATGAAATATTTCATTGAAAGGATAACTGGACAATTTTAGCTAATTGAAGCTTGAATTTTTATATATTTCTTATTACTCATTTATATTTATTGTGTTTATTAATACAACTCAGTTGTAACAATGGCTGTTTCTACCAATCAGCATATTAATTATAAACATATTAAAATATTAATTGTATCTATTGCTTTAAGTTTACTATTTAAAATGTCTTTTTCAGATGTTTCTTTAAGGATAAAAAATTTAAGGGATTCTTATAAAAGTTAATTTTTTCCTATGTTATGTGTTTGTTAAAAATGTGAGTTTTTAAACTCTCACATAATGATATTGGCATAATTTTCAAAAAACCTGCTGTGCTCTATCCAAGACAAAGCAAGATAACCAGTGAGGAAGAATAGCTGTTAAACTGCTCACCTTGCTTCCTCGGCTGTGACACTAAACATACACGTGCACTCAGGCTCCTAAATCAGTCCTTCTTTTGCTCCCGAGAGCAAACAGGTCCACAAAGAGCTAAACTACAATAAACACTGAAGGAGTAGAAGCCTTTGCCCTAGTCAGGTCAGACCAATGTCACGACAAACTTACCATGTCACTGTGTGCATTTTGAGTCCAAGGCCTATTTGTAGCTGTGGAGATAAAGGGTGGTGTGAAGAGACAGGCAGTCTGCAGCAGAGACGTTAGTCCTTCAACGCGACAGTGAAGGCCTCTGCCAGGATGTATAATTTGAGTTCTACAAGGGAGCCAGCAGCAGAGGAGAGAGGAGTAAAAAGCAGGGTGGGGAAATGTTCAGTCACAGTCTGCCGGACTCCAATCCCAAAAGCGTGCAGCTGATTCTCCTCTGCTCATCCTGTTCTTAGAAAGTCACCAGTTTGCCCTGCCTCGCATTTTACTCTCCTCTCATGACGTTTTTTGTCAGCTACAAGCGCACACACAATAAATGAATCACCATTGCCACAAGACAATAGGAGCACTGGGAGTGAGTAAATAAGCACATAGAAATGCACCGATCGATCGGCTGGTTCTTCAACATGAGTTAAGAGATGAGGCTCTCTGTAATACCTTTAAAGCCCAAAAAAAGCTCTCGACAATGTATATGATATGAGAGGCAGAGAGAGAGAGATTTTATCTGGTGTTAAGTCAGAAGAGGCAGACACACTGGATATTTTAAAGCCTAAATCAAAAACGCAAGATGTGTTTTTAGGTAACTTCATAAAACTAGATCAGACAGATACACACACGCGCACACACACAGTCGGAAACAGCTGTGTTATACTGCAATACATTTTCAGTTGGATTTGATTCGTACAAAAAGCTCTGTACAGTAGCCTAACCTGGAGAACGTTTTTAGTTTGAGATGTGTCCGAGTAAGAGGAGCCTCTGTAACCGGCTGCAGTTTTGGAGAAAATATAAAAATAATTTATCTAAGTTTATTAATTTACAATAATGTTTTATTATGAACATAAAGTTAAACGGACACCAGGAAGAGTAGCCAATGCTTATGCTGGTGCTGATAAGGATCCTATTATTTTTAATATATTTTAATATAGGCCTACACTTATTTATATGTTGTGTGAAGCATGAAGGAACTACAAATTTAATTTCTTTATGCAGCCTTGTGCTGTATAATGACTAATAAACAACCTTGTAATAAAGAAGAGTTACAAAAATTATTGCGTATGCTGTCAATTATAATTCTTACAAAGAAAATCAGAATCCGCCAAGAAAACTGTATCAAGTGCATCTCTAAAGCACAAGCTTCATCTCGCAACCAAACTGTTACCAGCACTCTTGTCACTTCTCACACTCACTGTTCCTTGAATTTGTGCAAACACAGCTCAGTGAGAAATTTCCACTGTCCATATCAACTTCACCAGCTGACTAAGAAGAAATAAAATCTAACAGGATCGCAGTGGGCTGAGGCTTTACTAACAAGATAAGCTGGCAAATCAAACACGTATCCACCAACCACTATGGAAAAAGAAACGATATCTGAACGCAGCGCTGTACATGATGGTTCACTTACATGTTTTATCTTCAAAGGTTGGACTGTCAGCATGGAAAAAAGTGTTGCTTTCACTAGTGTATATAAGGAACAACCTCACTGAAGGCAAAGTTGTGACTGATAAAAGGCTGCGAAACTTTTTATTTTCATTTGTCACATCTAAATCTCCTCTTAGTGAGCAGCTTACACCCTGCTTTCAACTGTTGGGACATACTCTGATATTTATTAAAGCTTTATAGTCTAAGATCAAAGTATCTCTTTTTTCCACTATCACTGAGGGCAAAAGGTTCCCCTAAAACTATGCTCTCAGTCACCTCCCAGGGGTTTTTAAGATTTTACTTTATCAGATAAAAACAAGTTTTCCTTTGAGAAATAGAATACCAAATCACAATATAACGTATCAACTGACTCACAGTAAACCACAGAAAATCTCATCAATACAGAATTATGGCTCGTGTATCACGTGAAGACTTATTTTTATATGGATTAATCTACCAATTGTTTACTGGTTTACTGATTCACTGTTTGGTCTTTACAAAATCAAAAAACAAAAATGCCTATCACAAGCTCCAAGAGTTCATGGTGCCATGTCTTGTTTTTCCAGGGGCATCAATTTTATTATGATAATTTACTACCAAGACAAAGAGGAGCAACAGCTAATCATCTGTATCATGATAATTATACCCACCTTAAAACAAAGCAGTTTTCCAAGGAATATTAAAATGGACTTGGTTGAAAAGCACATTGCCCTTGATTTTAAACTTCCTTGCATAACTATGACCCTTCACAGACACACTAGTGTACTACAGTACTGTCACCGAAAAACACTTTTTACAGAGTTGATGGTTAGATAAGGCACAAAGGCTCAAAGAGCCCTTCCACATAAGTTCAGGCTCTGAATCAGACATCAGCAGAAACAGTTCTCCTCAGTGGTCCTCTTTTGTGTCATTTTCAAAAAAGACAAGTACAGTACCTTTTATGAACGGAGACACAGCAACTGCCCCTCGCTAGTATCTTCTGAATTCAAAGCAGTTTGTTCCTCAAAGCAGACTCTAGTATGTCTTCTCACATCTGCACCCTCAACTGTTTCATCCTGGGTCACTTTATATGCTGTGGGAGCAGGTTAAGCTGTGCATCGACTCATCAACCGTTACAGAAGACCCATAATTATTGTTTCGCTCAGTTCTCGGGCTGATATCATCAACCAAGACTGTCATTAGATGAGAGAGTGCTGGCTGTAGGCATATGTTGGTTCACCGAACGCATGGTCCCTGTGCTCCACTTATCCTGAGCGGACAACAAAGGACCACTGACCATAAAATGAAAGGGTTTAGACATGACTTGGTGCGGCTCAACCCCTCATTTTTAGCCAGAGGTCATCTTAGAGGTCAGAGACAGAGAGGTAGAAAGCCACAGGGCACATACCTAAATCCTGCACACAAGCGCCGGTGGTGTATTTCATCCATTTCCAAATATTGTACAGCTGCAGTTCTATTTATGTGAAAGAATATTTTAACATATGGTAAGCACTGTAAATGATATTAACATCAAAATTACTATTTTGACTAGTTAAAACACTAACTGCATCAAAAACCCTCTTAAAGATAATTGATTTAACACCCTAAAACTCTGAAAATGTGTTTACCTTTGACTGCAAGAGCAACATTTTGAAAGTAAAACCTTTTCCTTATTAAAGTATTGCTCAGAGTTAAACATGCATTTCAGACATTGAAATTCCATGTCTTCTACATGGCTTCAAACCAATTTCACGAAAGAAATCTCTACAAACTACAGGACAATGTATATATGTAGTCAAAATATTTTTCCAAGTTTTTTCGACCTGGAAAAAACCATATAAACCTATATTACCATATTTATATTTTAGATTGTATCAATTCATTGTCAACTCTACTTGCACTCATTAATACTATCTATCTTACTACTATTTATCATTACATTTCTGTTGATACTGTAAAATACTGTACATGTCCACACTCCTTTATATTTAGATTTTATATTTACCTACTTTCTATGTCTATACCTTAATATCTTCACATGCAACGTGAGCAGTGAGAATTTCCCTTCAAGGCACAATTAAGTGTTTCTGATTCTGAACCATGATTGCTAGTTTTCTTCGGGCTATTTTTCACCACTGGAGAGAAAACAGGAAGTGAGTGTGGTTATCGGAACGAACTTAAGGAGTACTTCTCTATATAATTACGCTGACAATGCAGAGTCAAAACGATTTTAAGCAGGAAATAAAAGAAGCGACACTCATTTAACCTCACGGTGCTATGACTGGGAGACTGCTCATTGGCTGGTTTGCACAATTTCTCCGTCTCTTGCTTTTTTTTTTTTTTTTTTTTTTTTTTACTTAAAGCAGGACCCACGATTACCCACATGCTCTTTCTCTCACACTTGTATTTGTGAGTTAAAGGAAAACAAATGAACAACTCAACCAGTCACTGATCATTAAGTCTAACTTGATCTGGCTAATAGGTTGATTAGCATCTATAGCAAATCAAGAACGGCCCCGTATTATAAGTAAACTAACCGACTACAATAAACCTTTAATGTTTAAATGAACGTCCTCACTGTTAATTATGAGCCGGTTTCAGTTAGATAATGTAATGACATTAGCCAGTTTCTTATTAGCCCTGACAGTTAGCTTACCCGGTGATGCTGTTGGGGGAAGAAAAGCAGACTTGACGTCAACTCGTCTCAACAGCAGCGTCTCTATGGATCCTACAGTCCGGAGATTTCACATCTGGGTAAAGAAAATGTCAGTTGCTGGCAGCCAGGTGTCTCTGGTAACGTTACGTTCAGTCATGAAGAGACCGAGGGGAGGTCCTCCCATTGAAGCCGAGCTCACAGCAGCAGCGTGGAGGATGTGGAGGGGTCACTACAGTAGTGACGTCTACAAGTTCGCCCTTTTCAAAATGGCCGTGTCTCCCTCGTGCGGTCGACAAGAGTACTGAAAGACTACACATATAATTTTTATTTCTTTATTGATAACAACAAATATACAGATACAGCAGCCATGTGCACACTATAACAGGTATACAGATGAATTAGCCAAAATAACGCAGTTGAGGAACAGGATATCCATGTTAAATGTAGACCTACGACTTTTATTAACCTACAACGGATCTTGTCCTTCGTCTTACGAAACTCATTGCATGGATGCACAGACAGGACTAACACTTGTATCTGTGGTGGTCTCGACGACTAAGATATTACTCATTCCATAAAGTTCACGTTTTAATAGCTTCGGCCAAACGGTGGGCTCGTCCGGGATTTGAACCCGGGACCTCTCGCACCCAAAGCGAGAATCATACCCCTAGACCAACGAGCCGCTCAAATAAGCTTTCACTTGTGAAAAACTCCTCGTGATGTATCAACTTCACATCTTATAGTTTTTGCAACAATATGTAGCCTACGTTTACTCATGAAGTGTAAGTGAAGCAGAACCGTGGTTTGCACACACACCTGCCTGATGCACCGTCATGGCCACCTGGACACTCAATTAATAGCCCAGGCTTTTATTTGCTTCAATCACTGAACTCCCCCTGACTATATTTGGAACAGGCGTCTATATGGGACAGGCCAATAATTCCTTTCGCACAAAACTCTGGCTCAGCAAAGATGGGAAATAGGGTAACATCAAATTGTTTATTTCAACCAGTATGAATACTTACCAGGCCGGTAAAACGGACAGGCGTCTTATTAGGACTAGGCTTTTCATTACAGCTTTACGGTGGTAACAATCCTGCAGAAAATCATACTCTACCTTTAATGCCAGTTGTAAAAGTGGTCACACTCAGGAGCGGGACACCTAGTGGTAAAAATGTGGTATACAGGTCCAGTTTAATACAAAAGATGCAACTTCAAAATGCAGACTGATGGAAAGTCCACAGAGATTTTTTCACCCAGCATTCGGGTGGTAAGATTTAGAATAAAATTTCATAGTGCAGCTGATTCAAGTTTTAGAATCTGTAATGATTTGGCTTTTCATGAATTAACAATGCTATCTGCCTGCCCATATCAAACCTCACGTTTTCTCCCTTAAGCCCTCCTGTTTAGTCTGTGAAATACGTACAATAACATGTCAAGTCCCTTGGTCTTGACAGCTCAGCTCCAAAAAATGAAGACATACAGAGCAACATATTTATTTCAAATTCAAGTCACCACAATCTAATGGTTTGGCACAATGACTGACATTAAGCTGATATTTCAATAACTACTGCTGCAAGCAAGATTTTGCCACCATGTAGGCTATGTTTTTAAATTCTTACCTTCTAATTAATTTTATATTCATGTAGAACTGCTAACATAAACAAGATGTTAAAAGTTAAAAGTTAAAAGTTTTTGGTCTAATTTTTCCTCATCAAAATCGAGGGTCTAAGGACAGAGGTTGGTGTATACGGTACAGATTGTAAAGCCCCTTAAGGCAAATTTGCGCATTGTGATATTGGGTTATAAAAATAAAATTGACTTAATAATGGTTAACCGACACTGACGTAAACCAATTCTGCTAAATAAATATCATGAACTAGCAGAATCAGAAAGTCTGTAAGTTCTCAGTCAATTCTGAGCACTCTGATTGCAAAGAGAGGTTGCCAATTTTAAACACTATAATCCAGAAGGCCGTGTTGGCTTTGTTTATTTGTTCATCGTTGTTCATGGCATTCCATGGCAATTCATCCAGGTCGCAATGGCTAGGCTTCTTCTTGGAAAACAGACTCGGCACACTCAGCATGGGGGGGGTGTCAAACAAACAATGCAGCTAGGTTATCATGGCTTCCATAAAGCACCTGTTAAAATCAGCAGTGTTTACTTCACAACTAGGTTAGATAACAGCTGAGGAGGAGACGTCACTGCAAACACCGCCCTCTGGTCCAGAGATGTTAGTTCTTGGTCATCCAGAAGGGTATATATAATTCAGAACAGTAGTCCTGATCCCCCACAGACACAGAGGAGAAGAGCTCCTCGCTGCACCGTGAGCTGGCTACACTGGTCCCACAGGAAGCCAGGTTCCACCTGGGGAGAAGGTTGAGTATATTCTATGAGTTATGTCTGGAAATTGTTCATATCATTATCCTGATACCAAGTGGTGTGCACACAAGATTTACATTTCAACTATGTACACATTACAGATGTCAGCATAGTTCATCTTAGGGGAAATAAAAAAATATACAAGCAGGAGTCAGTGAGGACATGTTTAAACATAACTTCTATTTAGAGAATGAAATGCTGCTCTTTACAAGTTTCTAATAGCAGCAATATTCAGTTCCAGTGCCACGTGACAATATAACTATTGTACAAAGTTTCATGCAGTAATCTGTAACTTTCCACTCAAGTGTTAACCTTGTTATATTGGCAAGCGGCATGGTTGTGTTTTTGGTTTATGTGGAAACCTATTTTTTATGTTTTGTTGTTTTGATCAGCAAATGTGTTATTACTGGCCTTGTAGTGTGGATTTGGCTGTGAGACAATACAAACATACAAACACAGCGTGAAATACGTCAATACTCGTGCACTGCCACAGTTGTAAACATTCTTTACTGGCTGTCATCTCGGACATGTGCAACTTCACAAACACATTAACATCATCAATGTTTACAGGACAGAAATAGACATACAGCTGAAAGCAAAGACAAGAAAGCTGTCAGTCTGTATTTTAAACTGCAAAAATATGATTTTGTATGTTTTAGCATTACAAGCATGTTTGAGTATAGGAAACATGTCAAATAAATAGCTGAATAAATAAATTACTCCAATTTCCACCTGATCAAAGCAAAAAAATGTTAAATCAAAAATCTTGGCCTATACAGATGTACCTACCTATGTGGTGGTTGATGTATCGGTGGGACAGAAGGAATGAGTGGTTGTGAATTATTATAACCCTGGAAAGATAAGATAATTGAACAAACGTGAAGAAAAAGAAAGACAAATAAGAGCAAACACTTTGTGGTGTGAGCACTTTAATGCCCATAACACAAACCGATGTTAAAGGCCAGGTAATAGAAGACTTGAGATGAATTTAGTTGGCTTAAATGATGGAAGTAAAACAAGAATACATGTTAACACGGTTATTGCTCCCATTTGCAACTGGACAGTGTACCAAGAGGAAACCATAGATAGTGACCATTAGCCAGTCCTATGCATGATAAACATTAATGCATCAATGAGTGAAGTGTATGGGTGGAAAAAAAAAAGTGTTGGGAAAACCTAACTGGGGGAAGTTTAAGGACGAGAGTAGGGCTGGGCCATAAAACAATAATGATAATTATTGCAATATAATTTTCCTCATAAACAATATAACAAATGTTCAATATATCGTCAATAAGTGTTTGATCATGAACTAATTTACACTTAATGTTTCTATTAAGATATTAATTTTATTGAGGAAAAGGGACTGAAAAAAGAATCACTGATCATATTTGTTGAAAAACATTTTATCAGAATCATTTTGAATGTTCTACCTCAGACTTGTTAAGTGATCCACGGTCAAGCGTTTGTCATGTTCTGACCATAAGGAAAAGTTTCAAACTACAATTAACCATCAGGTTTCTTCAACTTTCACTCAGGAGCAAAAATCAGTCTTTAAACTTGAAAGAAATGATAATATGACATTTATCATGATAATTATTGATATTGAATGATATGAAATGTTTTATCGTGATAACATTTTTATTCATATCGCCCAGCCCTAGATGAGAGTGATGGATATTGTAACCAGTCACTTGGTCTCTGTGTATTAACTTCTATGTAATAAGTTAATGCACAACAAAGTTGTATACATGTACTATCAGAATATGTATGCTGCAGCAATGTCCCATGAATGTATAAATAGTTACATGACCGTGAAGACAAAAAAACCCAAAAAACCCCAGAAATAATCTCACAGAGCTTTATTTAAATCACAGAGGACAACAGTGAACGTGAGAGGTGGCTTTTGAAAATTGTTCTCCCAAGTCTTGGCGATCAGAGAGAAAAAAGCTAAACATTCCAACCAACACACATCAAAAAGTATTCACATTTTTTTCAAGAAAAGTCCATCTGGTTTAATACAAAAAGTTAGTTGTGCCATGCCTCAAAGCAGTTCCTGTCTGCAATGAGACAGAGAGCCACATCGCACTCTTTACACTTCCACGGGGTAGACTGATTTGCCTGCCTGGTCTGCCTACAGTGTAGACAGGTCTTGCGTCCATACGAGGCCCGCTTGCTTGCATCGGTTTGTTTAGAGATTGCCACGGGAATGTGACCACTCTGTGCCTTGGCGGGTGGGACCGCAACTGTGACACCACACAACTGGGCCGTCAGCTCCTCCAGGAAGGCCTTGTGGGTCATGGGTTCCTCCTGCTTCTCTCTGCAGAGCTCCTTGTGAAGGAGGAAGCTGTTTGTGGCTGCAATGTCCAGGAAGTGTAAAAACAATGTCCGGTACCAGCGCATGCTCTTGTGGTGTGAGGAGTAGTACTGGATCAGTTGCCCTGACAGATCAATACCTTCCATGTGCTTGTTATATTCCATGACAGGTGTTGGGCATGGAATGGATTTGGTGGTGCAGCTCCCATTCTGAGTTTTGACCCTCCTCTGCACGGTGCTGCCAGAGAACACCTGGTGGATTGTGGAGCAGATCGTGACCTCGTGTGTGTCCATCCACTTCACAAAAACCAGCGGGTCTTCACGGAGCCACCTGATGGAGCCTCTAGGACTTGTGCATATGCAGGGGCATTCTTTTCTCCTGTCTCTGTACGTGCCACATGCGCCGATATTCAGGCTAAACAGATCCTTGAAAAGTCTTGGACTGGTGAAGAAATGATCTACGTACAGGTGAAAGCCACTGCCAAGGTATGCTGGCTTTATCAGGGACATGACAGAGTCATATGCAAGTCCATGGCCTGAGGTAAACTGTGACTTGCCAGTGTACACTGCAAAGTCCACAGTGTAGCCATTGCTGCAGTCAGCCAAAACAATGAGTTTGGCTGGCTTAGCTTTCTTGTATTGTGCCATGACAGTGTGAGACTTTGTCGCCACCGTCCTCTCGTCAATTGAAATGTTCTGCCTGGGATGGTAAAATGCCTTGCAAGCATGTTTTATAGTGTCCAGGAGGGGCTTCAGTCGAAAGAGGCGGTCGTGATCGGGTGTCCCCTTCTTTCTGTCATTCTCAACGTCTTTCTCAGGACCACTCATGTGGATGTTCCAAGTTATCGCCCGGTACCTTTCTCGTGCCATGACATTAGCTGGAAATGGCACGCTGAAAATGGTGTTCTTTTTCCAGTATTCCTGGATGTTATCCAGTTTCACCAGTGCAAAGAAGAAAGTCAGTCCCACATACTTGAAAAACTCCTGGATGTCGATGTCAGTCCATGAATATTTTTTGCCTATTGCAATGTTTTTAGCAGCTTGTTTATTTGTGTGTTGACAAAGGGTTCGAGCTGCATCATTGCTGAAAAACAGTTTAAAAATCTCCAGAGGTTTGTATGTGTTGTTTGAGTTCAGCTGATGTCCAGGGGGTCTCGCTGGGTTGAATCTTTTTGGGACTGGACATATGTCTGGATCGCTCTCTGTTTTCCAGGACGGGGCTGAGGCTAACGGCTGTGGCCATGTCCAAAGTGGAGATCTGGATCTCGTTCTGCTCCTTTCTCTTGACACACTACGTGCACGACTGGACCTAGATCTCGTCTGTGCCCTGGAGTGCGGTGGAGAACGTGATCGTGCTCTTCTCTGTTGGGGTGGCTGCTCTCCCAAAGATCTGGCCTGTTGTCCTGCAGCAGAGTCTCCATCCTGTTGATAATCATCACTGTAAACCAAATAAAATCAATAAAAAAATCTTATACCATACTGCAAATATATCGGCCACCAACCCCCACTGTATTTGTGGACCCTCTATTTAAGCAGTCACAGTACTGGTATCAGCAAAGGCATCATGGATTTAACATGAGGAAAAGTTTGAGCAGAAATCCATTAAACCACTCAGCAAACCTAGTGTGGAAACCGTTTTATCATATTAGAGCTTATTTGGTGATGTCACATATCCATTAAGACTTGTTTTATGATGTTTAATATAATGACGTATTTCTTTAGGATATGAAGTGTAATTTTTGACTGGTAAACTAACGAGTCTTGGTCTTTTTTGGCCGCTACAAGGACCGGTACCGTAACGCCAGGAATAGACGCGCATCAAAATCAAACGGCTTGACTACAATCAAAAAGCAATCTATACGCACCAGTTCAAAAACAGCATTCTTGCTATTACCAATGTCTCTGCTATTAGTAACTAATATGGCATTAGTTTTTATGTTCTTACAGACGAAGGTCCCACCCACAATTTCAGCTCAACATTTTGGATTCGCAAAGTGTTTGGATTTGCAAACAAAACTTTAGGATTTGCAAACAAAACTTCTGTGTGGTTTTGGTACGTGGATAGTTTTGCCCTCAAACGTATTTTTTACCGCAACATACAAAGTAAGTAACTCAACTCTTCAGCTGGATCAACTCCTTCTTGGTACGTTAACTCATCATCGGTGAAAAAACTGTCTGCTCCAGACTCCCCATCATCCTCGCTTTCAAGAAGTTCAGGTGTGTCTTCGCTGCTGTGTCTTGGCTGTGGCTCCATTTAAGAAAAGCAGAAATGAAACAACCCCGCTGTGTGAAAATCAGACAAACTATTTCTCACAACAGCTCTATGTACATCTCTGTGCATCCTTGTGGTCGCCAAAGCTTTGGTTTCTTCTTCTTGTTTCCGGCAGACTTGACGCATCTGTGGCGTATTGCTGCCCTCCTCTGTTCGTTATTCACATCTTAATGCAAATTGCCTATTTCTTTTTGTAGTTTTATGTAGGTATTCGATCAGTTTCTTCATTTTGTTCCAACTATCTAAGTTAACTAGAGTGCGTATGCTAAATATAGTTTCTCCAATTGCTCCCAGGTCTCTAAACAATTTCCTCCCTTGGCGAGTATTTTCTACAATGAACTAATACATGCTTTACTGTTTCCTTGTCTCCACATTCACATGTTCCATCAGGGTGTTTATCAATCAGAGCCAGCCCACTCCTCAGCCCACAATGCCCAAATCTCAGTCTGGATAGAACTACTGCATCTCTTCTCGTACATCTAAAAGCACATTTTCCTTTTTCTACAGTTCTTTGTATTTACTGAATAATATGTTCTCCCCTTTCTTTCGTTTTCCCATGATTTTTGCCACATTTCTTTCACTGACCTATTTATTACTTCTGTGTAATCCGGTAACCCATATTGTAAATTAATTTGAGCTCTTTCCTCCAGCATGCTTCTTTGCCACCACATCACTTCCTCATTACCCTCCACACCCATGTGTGTCGGTACCCACACAAACCCCACCTCATACCCTGCTTTGTGAATTCTATACAACACCTGCATAATTTCCACAAGTAAATCTGGTCTAGATTTCATTTTAGTATCTTTAATTGTAATCAGAGTTGCTGCTGGGTCGCTAAGACCGACATATGATCTGGAATTCTACATCCTTTTTTATAACCTATTTCTGGAATGCTTACACCAAAAGCCACTTTACCTCTCTCAGGATCCTTTGACCCATCAGTGTAGATTTGTAGGTGGCCTCCCCATATTTGACACATCCGGGCTTTTATCTCCTTCACTACATATTTCTTTTGCTTGTTTCCATAAAATATAGGTCAACATTGGGATCTGGGATCAAACATGAAGGTATATCTGGTCGACATATTGGTGGACATACTTTCAAATTCATAATACCAATTTCCTTTGCCATAGATTTGAGTTTTTCTGTAAAGTTTGTTTTGATCCTTCTTGCTGTTCCCATGAACTCCCAATGTTGACTCAACAGGGTTTTTGTTGGTAGTTTTCCATCCTGTCCTTTTAGTTTCATTATATACTTCAAACCGATTTTACGTCTACTTATTTCTAATGGCATATCCCCTGTTTCTATTAATAGTGCCGGAATTGGGGATGTGCGAAACACACCACTTCACACTAAGGGCTTTTGCTTGGACTCTGTCAAGTTGGCTAATCACTGAAGGGGCTGCTGACCCATATATACCACACAGCCATAATCCATAGTTGATCTTATCATTGCTCTGTATATTATCATCATAGATTCACTGTCAGCTTCCCGGTCGGCCCCAGCCACACACCTTAGGACATTAATTATTTTCCCACATTTCAAGGAAACCATCTCAATATGCTTCTTCCATGTCATCCTTTCATCTAACCACATTCCTAAAAATTTAAAATGTTTCACTCTTTCAATATTCCTATTATAAATCTGTAACATCTGTGTAGGCATTTTCTTCTTATGTCCAAATATCAAGTATTTAGTTTATTCTGTAGATATTTTAAAGCCCCAGTCATTAGCCCATTCAGTTACTTTGTCCAATGCAAACAATGAGAACTTGAATTCTTTCCTCACTCTACTAAACATACCATTGACTAGTATATTAAAGAGCACTGGACTTATTACACTACCTTGAGGGGTTCCATTCCCTATCTCAAGCTCATCTGATAATTCGCTTCCCACCCTCACCTGAATTGTCCTGTTACATAAGAAGTTTTTAATCCAGTTAAATATTCTTCCTCTGATTCCAGCATCATAAAGTGCAATTAGCAACCCCTCCTTCGAAAGCATATCATAGGTTTTTTCAATGTCCAGAAACACTGCTACAACTGCTTATTTGCAGTGGCTTTTTTAATGTCATTATCTAAGTCTAATACAGCATCCATTGTTGATCGTCCTTGTCTGAATCTACTCTGATATTCCACAAAAAAGCCGCTTTTCTCCAGTTTATCCACAAGTCTATCTGTTATCATGCGCTCCATTATTTTGCATAAAACAGAGGTTAATGCAATCGGTCTGTAAGAACCAGGGTTATCTGGTGGTTTTCCAGGTTTCGCAATTGGAATGATTACAGCATGTTTCCACTCTTTAGGAAGACAACCACTCTCCCATATACTATTAATTAGGGCAAGAGCTTCTTCTTCTATCATTTCTCCACAATTCTTAAATAATTGGTATCCTAGTCCATCCCTACTTGGTGAGGTATCTTTCCCCTGATTTATAGCTTTTTTTAAATTCTTCCATTGAGAAGAACACATTAATACTATCAGAATTTTCACAGTTTATTTATAATTTAGTCATATTATTTCTTGTTATTTGACTACTATTTTCTTCACCTACACTGTTGGAACTATGAACTTTTTGAAATTGCTTGACCAGTAAATTTGCTTTTTCTTTATTGTTTACAGCTTCAACTCCATCACAGTGAAGGACTGGGATTTCTGTCTGCCTGAGGACTCCTATCATTCATTAGATTCAAAATCTTTTTAAAGCTTTGGCTTGTGAGACCACCGGCTCTTCCGGTCTTCTTCTTCTTTGAAGTTTTGTTGTCATTGGCATCCAGAGTGTTGCATTACTGCCACCTTCAGGTCTTATTCTCCATCAGCATCTGTTCGGTTTTAAATCCGTCTTTCCACCCTCAAAAAACAAATAACCATTTCCTCCCTTCAACATTGTCTCCCCATCTTAATATACTTTTAACCGTGTTCTCTACCCAACCTATTTTCTGTAATTCTGTTTTCATTTCCTGCCTTTCATGTATTAATTTCCTGCATGTTGTAACTAAGGACATTTTCAACTGTTTCAGTTCCCTGGCATTGCTCACCAAGACCTGTTGGATGTTTTCTTAGGATGAAAAGTGTACTGTTAAGGTTGTTGTGTCTGTTTCTCATCCTGCTTATCACTTGCTCTTTCCGTTTTGCTCCCTTACTTACTTCTTGGCATGGAGTATAAATGTCTCCTTTTTATTGCATTATCCCAGTTCTGTTGCCACTGTTGATTTACACTTCTTCACACTATTCCTTCCCCCTCAGCTTTTGATTATTTAATATTGACATCAACACCTTCTTTCCTACTGCTTCTTTGGCCAACATGTCTACTTTATCATTTCCCACGGCACCTGGATGTGCTGGGACCCACATGAATATGACCTTTTCCCCTAGCCTAACTACTCGAGATTATATTTAATAAAGTGGGTCCAGATGACTTCTAGCTGTACCTGTTTAAATGCTATAAATACAGATCACTTCTGGTCCATTTCTTCTTCTTCTTCTTCTGTGATTTCGAGCTTCTTGTTTTTTAATTGAACTGAACACAAAATACAGAACATTGAAAGGGGAACAAGATAGCAATAAATAAGAAGATACAACCAGAAAAGGAAAAAAACTTTTTGGAAATGTAATACTATCTATATTTTTCTATATTTTGAAAGGTCAATTTTGAAAACGGGAAAGAGGGTCTACTGTTACTAAATTTACACTTATGAATATAGAATTTCACAAAAATAAGAATACATTTTTTTTAAATGCCAAACTTTTTCCCCAGAGAATACCATCCACAATACCACTCCACTATGAGACTACATAAGGTACAGTGACAGTATCGTGTTGAAAAAGTGTTCTAACTTCTGAAAAACACATCTTTCCTACATTTGTTTCACAGGGATCAAAAGCTGGACCAATGTGAGTTTAAAAAGAAAACACTCTTAACAGCATAGTCACCCCTGAAGGAATGGTATCGAGCACAGTAGAAAATTATTTGGAGTTATAGGAATGGTATAAAATGAGAGGAATTCTTCTTAATTCTTAATAGTTCTATAAGTCCAAAGACCTCAAGCTTATTGGGAGATTAAGCTTGGGGGCTGCCGACAAGGTACACTTAGGTCCTCTACCCAGGGATTTCGAAGAGCTCTGCTCGTGTTGTGGTGGAATGCAGAAGGCCCATGGTATACTGTGGAGCCTGCATGGAAGAAAGTCAAGTCATAGTTGTATATAAAAATGGACGTGACGTCACCCGTTGGTTTCTGAAGAGCAGTTTTGAATTGGGCGGAGCCGGCTGTCGCCATCATGGTAGCACGTCAGCGTGTGTCATACCTGGATAAGCAAAAATGGGCAAAAAGGCGGCTAATGGGTGGAGCTGAGGTGACGTGTTGCTGAAACCACTCCAGCCTAACTCGACGTGATCGAGTTAGCTCAGGCTAAGGAGCTAATGCTATATGCTACTCTGCGAAGGAAGGAAAGAAGGATTAAAGGAAGGAAGGAAAGATTCCTGATTCATTTCTTCCTTTATTGATTCCTTGGTTCCTTCTTTCAAAGGAAGGAATGGAGGAATCAAGGAATGATTAAAGTAAGGAATGAATCAGGAAAGGAATGAAGGAATCAAGAAAGAAGAAAAGAAGGATTCAAGGAATGAAGGAAGGATAGAAGAAAGGAAGGATGGAAACAAGGAAAATTTAAGGAATGAATAAATAAATAAAGAAGGAACTAAGGAATCAAGGAATCAAGAAAGGACTCAAGGAAAGAAGGAAGGAAGGAACCAAAGAATCAAGGAAATAATCAAGGAATCAACAAAGGAAGGAAAGAAAGGAAGTCACAGAAAATCAAAGAAGGAAGGAATAAAGGAAAGATTCAGGAAAGGAAGTGATCAAGGAATCAAGGAAGGAATTGAGAAAGGGTGGATGGAATTGAAGAATCAAGGAATTAAGGAAGAAAAGAAGGAATCAAGAAAGGAATCAAGGAAGGAATCAGGATCTGTATCTACACCCTGATGGGAGCAGAGTTAAGTTTAACGGGATGAGAGGGGGTAAAGGAAAGCTGGTGTGGAATACCTTACGGCCAGGATCTTAAAAATGTATTTATGATGATATCAAGTTGTCTCGCCTAACCATAGCTCATGCTACTCCGGTGTGACACCAAAAGCTGTGACGTATCAGATTCGGTGACCGAAATGGCAAGTTAAGCGTCAGAGGCTTTGTTGACGATGTGAAGCGGATGCAGTTTGGTTGGGTTTAGGTACACAAAGTACTTGGTTATGGTTAGGAAAACATCGTCGTTTGGCTGTAGTCACAGAATGTGATAGATCAGATTTTGGTGTTACACCGGTACAGTAGGTGGCGGTATGCACATGGTCGCAACCCGCAATAAAACCAGCAGAAGAAGCTAATTCTTCAGGCGGAAGTTGTTTTGATTGCGGAAGTGTACAGATGCTGTAGACGGAGCCTAATTTAATAGCATTTTTCATGTAGCTGTATGTAGGCCTCTGAGGGTTTCAGTTGAGGATCACAGCTCCATCAGGTAAGAGTAAAGACACAACTCCTCGCTGACTGCTAACGTAGCTGCTTCACCTCTTCAACTGTGGCGTTGCTAAGCTAAAGTTAGCGCGGCTAACGCGACATCGTTGAGGAACATTGATCACTTCAGTGACAGGCGACATATCAAGTGTCCGTGGAGGGAAAATACATGTTATTTATGACACCCAGGCAGTGCCAGGAGACCAGGAGCTTTCTAAATGAAGTGGAAGCAACGTTTCATTCTATGCTTGAGCTGAAAAGACCCCATGTTGTCGCATTTTGTCTGTTTTACCACTGGATCTTTTCTGAGACAGTCAGCTGATGGTTGGTTTTCTGGGAATTTCTGACTCGACATTTTGTAGTTTACCTTTTATCTATCGGATCTATAAAGGATTATGTATGTTCTATAAATATGGTGTTGCACGGTGGCAGTTCCTTTTACGTTTACATGTTTTCACTCATTACTGAAAATATTTAGAAATTAAAGTATTTGCGTCCTAGGAGCAACACCATACTGTATAAATACTATGCTGCTAGTCAGAGTCTTGCATTTTTGAATTTAACTTTACTGAAGTATTATCAGCAACATGTACTTTAGTATCAAGAGTTAAAGTAGCTAGCTGTAAGGTAAATGTATTGGAGTAAAACATACTATATTTCCCTCTGAAATGTAGTGGAGTTTAAGTATTAATCACGAGATAATGGAGACACCCAAGGAAAGTACATTAAAATTTGTACTTAAATACAGTATTTATATCATTCACATTAAACAACGTAATTGTAATTTGTGATAGTTAGGTTTAGCTTCCTGAGTTGACAAGGCTAGTTTTTAGAAAACAGAATAATTAATGTGTACCTTTCCCAGGTTTTAAATGAACAAAAGAAAATATTTTAGACTAACGTATTTTACATGGAGATTATTATCAGTGACAAAATACATTCCACAAAGCATTGCTGACATTTCTTCCTGTAAATGTCACCATCAGTATCCATTTTCTGATCATTTTGTTGGCTAGACTGATGGTAAAGTAACAATTTAGACTAAACCACTTGAATACAAGGGAAATTACTTTATTACCTCTCTTTTTATCAGAACCACGCCTCTTGAGCTAAACTGCAACAATCGGTCCTCTCTTGACATACTGTGTTTCTGTGGGCTGGACCAGCTAGCAAAGAAGCCACCTGACTGTTAGTCAGCATGCTGACGAAGCGCTCACATTTGTCTTCATTTAATCAATAAAGAGTAGAAAGCCTCAAGTCATACCAAGCATCCCAGCAGAGTCATTGCTTTTTTCTAAATATACTAAGCCAGTGATTTTCAGACAGAGTTGTAGTACAGAGACGGAGACACTGAGTCTTTGTGCTAGTTTACACAGGACATTGTGTGGTCTTGCACACTTGCTGAATTGATTGATCATACCCATTATAAGTTTGAAATGTTTGACACCAATATTCCAATGTGATTTGACAAATATCCAGCAATATAATTGTGAATTCACAATAAGGAAAGCCCTGGATGTTGGCTGTTAACTTCCAATAAAGAATGACATAAAGTCTGGAGTGTTTGCTCATTCATACATGTTAGGATTGTGTTCTTGGATGGAAGATGCTCAGCAGTCATGATGGAAAGAAAATGGTAGTTCACAACAGAGAAAACACAAGCTGCTATTATTATTCCAAGGAGGCTTACCGTAATGAAACCGGAAGAAAAGGTGTCTGTCACATCAGTGTTTTAAACACAGACTGTGTTTAATTTCATGACACACATGTTATCTGCTACAGGTGCTAAAAGTTCACCCAGATTGCAAAGAAACATTTTCTCACTTATCCCCTTGTGGCGTCTAGCCATTTAGATCAGTTTTAGTTTTTCAGTGTTATTCAGCAGATATCCTGATTTTATTAGTAACAAAAAAACAAACAAATTTTGTAATGTAGATTAACAGACCCTTTAATTATCAATATATCAATCTACTGTAGGGCTTTTGTTTTTTTTTTAAATGAAACTTATTCCAAGTAAGGATTGATTAAAAAATGCCACCCTGCCACAGCGTTAACTTGCAGATTCCAGTATTAAAACTTCAGCTTGTGTTCCAGGTCGAGCTGTCGTGATGGCTGACCACACTGACGTCAGCCTGCTACCGGAGGAGCGAGTCCGGGCTCTGACCAAGAAGGGAAGCTCAGTGGAAGTTAATGAAGATGTGCCCCCGCGCCGCTACTTCCGCTCTGGCATGGAGATGATCCGCATGGCTCATGTCTACACGGAGGAGGGCAACATCGAGCACGCCTTCGTCCTTTACAATAAATATATCACGTGAGTGTTTACAGTGATGAACTTTTATTTGTTGGATTGTATGTAAGTACTTACATGTTGGTTAAAATGTCAAGAGGAAACATGCAGGGAGGGGTCTTTATTTATTTATTTTTTTTATAAATTCCTTTACATTTTGTGATATTGTTTTGAATTAAGCATTCTCAGTGCAGGCATGCACATATGTTCTTCAATAATAAATTTTTTTTTTTTTCACCAAGGCTCTTTATAGAAAAACTTCCCAAACATCGGGATTACAAGACAGCTAACATTCCTGAGAAGAAGGACACACTAAAGGTACGTGCACAGTGTTCATGCTGTCCTATATAACAAAGTTTACTTTTTGTTAAGGAACTGTTTTTTTTTTTGTGTGTGTTCATTCTCCAGAAACTGAAGGAAATAGCATTTCCTCAAGCAGAGATTCTGAAAAAAGCACTTTTGAAGAGATTTGATCAAGAGTATGCACAGTATCTTGCCAAAAAGGTAAACTTTCAATTCCTGTCGCACTGAAATGTATGCATTCACGGTCTCATGTATTAATTGCAGATTTTAATTAGAAATATAATTAAATTAAGAAGTTAAGATTAGATTGAACTAAAGCAAATTCATTTTTTATTGTAAACTTAATGTAATAAACAAAAATATCTAATACACGATCACAATACAACAAGCTTTGTGCACTGATTTTACTTTGTATTGAGTACATTTACATTTATTCATTTAGCTGACACTTTTATCCAAAGCAGCTTACAATTGCTTTACATGTCAGAGGTCGCACGCCGCTGGAGCAATTAGGGGTTAAGTGTCTTGCTCAGGGACACATTGGTGGATGGGTCACAGTGGGGAATTGAACCCGGGTCTCTCACACCAAAGGCATGTGTCTTATCCATTGCGCCATCACCACCCCTAAATGGGGTGAAACATTAATCAGCAGCACGGCAGCAACATACCAATAATAAAAGCAGGCACTTGTTCATTAACAGAGGAAATGGACGCAAAACAATGATATTGAACTTCAGTTATCTCAGTAAAAACTGAATAATTTAAACTGATTAAGACGAAATCAGCATAAATCTTAAATTAATTAGGGCTGAAAACATCATCACAGACCTGAAGATCAGAAAATCTCATGTCACATTCTTTTGTTTTGTATGTGGAAAAAGAGAAAATGGCCAAAAAATTGAAAAATGTTAAACTTTCATGTATATGATGTTTGCCAAATGCTCAGAAAGCGGAGGAGGATGCCTTGGCGCGGGAGCAGTCCAAGCAGCGAGCGCTGGACGCGGAGCGGGAGCGCGTGGCCGAGATGCAGCGGCGGCAGCGGGAGCAGGAACAGTTCAGTGCCTTTGAGGAGATGATCCGCCGCCAGGAGCTGGAAAAGGAACGCCAGCGCGTACTCCTGGAGTTCGCCACACCTGCCAAGCCTTCTGCTGACACGCCCCTCCTTCCAGGTATCCAGGGCCCCTCGCCGGTCCCCCCCACCGCCCCACAGAGCCCAGGGGACCTATCAGGCAGCAACAACCACCGACACAATTGCCCTCCTGCAACCATCGGCGCACCTGCAACCAGCCTGCCCACCTTCGACCGGTCGCTCAAGCCCGGGTCTCTGGTCAGCCCAGGGAACAACAGTGAGTTAATCTTTTCCTGACGTGAGGGGCTGGCCTTCAGAAGATTTAAATACTGCCCTACTCCTGCTTTGAAGTATTTATTCTTCTGAGCTTATTTCTTTCCCCCCTGACCTACTTAACTTCCTGTTAACGCCATGCCAACATTTTGCATTCAGCTGCTGTTTATTGCTCTGCATGGTTTTTGCAGACACAATGGTGGATGCCCTTCGGCAGCTGGCTGTTCCTGCTGAGCTGTGCCGGAGCTTTCTGAGGTTGGCCGAGGCCAACACAAGCCGAGCTGTAGAAACTTGTGGCATCCTGTGTGGCAAACTGGTAAGACTCGGAATCAGAGCGACTGTGTTGATCCTGTAGTAATGAATCCCCTTCTGAATAGACCTGTTACAGGAAGCACAACCTAACCCTCAACAAGATGTTTGCTATGCGTAATTTAAATGAAGGGAACAGTGTGACAGAAACTGTTGTGTTTGTTCCAGACCAGAAATGCGTTTACTGTGACTCACGTCATCGTACCAAAGCAGTGTGGTGGACCGGACTATTGTGACACAGAAAATGAGGAGGAACTCTTCCTCATACAGGACCAGTATGATCTTATCACCCTCGGCTGGATACACGTGAGTAAAAGACGTAAAGATTCTGGCCAGTGCAGTCAAATAATTCCAAAGTGAGTAAACCAATCAAAATCAACGGCATCACTCAGCGGTACAAGTTAATCCTGCTGTACGTTAAAGGAAAAATCCACTTCCAAATCCAAAAAAACAAGACAACCCGTGATGCAATGAATCTTGTGTCCGGTTCGTCTATTTTTTCAAATTCCTGCTATGACATCAAATTAAGATATGCTGCTGCAGTGGAATTAGATTGGAGAAACCTTTTAAGGGATCTAGCATATTATCTTTAAACAATAATGCGATACAGGAACACGATGTGGTGTTATGTGTTTTAGATAAATTGTGATCATGTGAATTGTGACAACATGGGGATGAGCAATGTGAGTTAAATCAATGTTATCACATTGATTTAACTCACATTGCTCATCCCTATGTTAAGAGAAATATTTTTTTAGATCTTATTATATATCAAGATATGGCAAAGAAATCACATAATTTATATCGCAATATAATCAATCTGATGTTCAGTGCAGTGAATTACTCTTCACGTGTAAAACCAAATGCTGAATATAGTACTATTGATGTGATGAAATTCCACAAAAGTTAATACATAATAATACTGAACTACTAAAGGCCGATTTATGCTTCTGTGTCGAGTGCTGACTTGAGCGTTTATACTTTTTTTATACATGTGTGTTGATGTGTAATTGCTAAAACGCGGAAATGAGAGAGAGGTCGGAGGAGATGGCACGCACGACCTTTGAACCGATTAAGGCAGGAGGAGGACAAGCTGGAAAGACAGTGCTACCAAGTAGGGCTGAACAATTTAGGGGGAAAATCTAATTGTGATTATTCTGCCAGATATTGCGAATACAATTTGATTTGCATTATTTTTTATTATTGAAGTTTTGCTATTGAAGTTCACTATTCATTGTCTGTCTCTTTTTGATGGAAGCCGCCAGGAAGTCAGACACAGAACGGCATAGAGAATTCGATCGATGTTCAAAATAAAGCACCCTTTGCAGAATTCCGATCGTACGTCAACAATAAACACGGTTAAAAAATACAAAAAAAGATCAAATTTAACTACGTAGCTACTTAACCATGGTAGAAGCACAAAAATCAAGGACGACTGAACAAATAAGCAAAATCTGAACAAGTCAGTCAAATTAGACAAGCAAAACGCTCTTTTTCTGAAATGCTCCATGTGGATATGTAAAGTTAGCCTGCAGACGTTAGCCGGACAAAACCGAGGCATAGCCGCCGCTTGTGTCAGTTCGGCTGGCGCCATTATCCCACGTTTTCCTCTAGTTTTGGTGTTTGTTGTTAAATGTACACACCCTGTGCCTGCTCTGATTGGCGAGTAGGACGTTAACAGGAGGCGCATGGCGCTTGTGATTGGCGAGCCGATCTCTCGCACAAGAATTACAACGGAAGGAATTTGTAACTGCACAACTGTTTAAAACTGGTCAGATACGCGGTATAATTTACCTACATTTTAATCGCCGTCTTCACGATTAGGTTATTGCGGTTATTTTTTTTTGTTAATCGCAATTTCGATTTGAAAACAATTAATCGTTCAGCCCTACTACCAAGACACCAATCACAGTTCTTGCGGACGTGTAGTTACATTTTGGGGGATGTGTGTGCCAAGCTATGGCGTAGATTTGAAGCAGAACCTTTTTATATACAGTCCATGCGCAGAACTATAAATTAGCCGTAACTATTACCCAGCCTCAAATAACCACAGGGCTTTAATTATTATAAAATTAAATTGACATGATTCATTTTACACTGGTTCAAATTTTGATCAGCAGTAAATTGCTAAATTTTCATTTGTGCACAAGTGTATATATTTAGGCATTTTAACACTGGAGTTCTGTCAACAACGTAAATAGAAGTGGCGTTAGTAAATTTCACTGCAGGCTTCAGAAGTTCACAAGAATAAGATGTCATGGTGATCAAACAGCTGATTTTGTTTTGATCATTTTTCCAGTAAAGAAAATCTTTTTTCAGTGTGCAAACAAACATGGTATATGTTTGTTTGCACACTGAAAATATGTTGACCATGTAAACTGATGTCTGTCTACTGTTTTGTTTGTGTGTTGTTTTTTTGTTTGTTTTTTTCCCTTCCCCAGACTCACCCCACACAGACGGCCTTTCTGTCCAGCGTTGACCTCCACACACACTGCTCCTACCAGATGATGCTGCCAGAGGCCATCGCTATCGTCTGCTCGCCTAAGTTCAACGAGTGAGTCCCGAAAACTGCTGGCGTCCTGTCGTTAGAAGCATTAAATGTGTCTCGCTATGTTAAAGTGTGACTGTGTTTGTCCCAGAATCGGCTACTTCAGGTTGACTGATCGAGGAACAGAGGAGATCTCCACATGTAAGCAGAAGGGCTTTCACCCTCACAGCAAAGAGCCGCCTCTATTTACAGTGAGTACGCCATGCGGGAAAACATCAATAAAAAAGCAAATGTTTCTAATACAACTTAGTTTATTTCAGCAATTTATTAGAGCCAAGTATCATTTTCTTGAAAATGGTGAGCGACTTGCCTCATCCAGTCTTGTGCACAGGGATCGAGTGGGACGATCTTAGGTCATAAGCAGACTTTGCAACTTGGTTTAGTGGGTCTGATCTTCCAAATCAAAAACAAATATTTGTTCTCACTTACTTCTAGTGGTGTACTTCTGTTTTGAGGTTGTGCAGTGCAAAATTAGTTTGTGTGAGTTAACAGCATTGAAAAACTTCTCAACAGTTACATATTTTCTTCCAGCAAATGTAGAATACATGTAGATGTGGTGAATGCTGCATGCTAGAACTGTACCAGTAGAGAGAATATTGAGTGTAATCTGGGAAAAACAACCCTCTAAGTAAACACAAGGGCCATATATCTGGTTTTACTCCCTGCCTTCAGTCAGTTCAGTCTGGTTGAAAAAGCATAAACTAAACAGTCTTGATTTTCAGCCAGGAAAAGGAAGTACGTTTGTGTTTCTTTATATTATTTTTTTCTGTTAATAAAAATGGACATTTTCAATAATGATCTGTAGTAATGTATTGCAATTAGTACTGCACTGTAGCTTGTATTCTGTCCACGTGAACAGACTCTAACTCAAATCTCCTTCTCCTTTTCAGCACGCGGGACATGTCACCATCACCAACGACACGGTCTCCGTGATGGATTTGCGATGATTTTCTTTGGAATCTTTTCATCTTTTTTCACAAGAACACTCATAGACTGTTTTATCAGACTGCAGACATTGTACTGGAGAAAACACTCATTTTATTTTCAGGACGGTACTGCGCAAAATGCAGGCCACAAGTTTACCATTCACATGGACTTCAGTTGTTCTCAAAGGGAACAACATTGTGAACTTTTTTTTTTTTTTTTTTTTCTTTAATTCAAATTCCACATATTATTGCACTTTCCAAGCAAACAACAACTTCTATCTGCTTAATGGACTGGCAAACCTCTGACTCTCCAACCCCTCTGTTTTTGTCAGTATGTGCTTTACTTCCTTTCTTTTGTTTCAGCCATTAATAAAAATGTATGTATCTATGTCAGTGACAGATATGTGTCTGGTAACTCAACCTTTTGTTTCATAATTGTCATCGAAGTTTGGTTCTGCCTGACTGATAAAGTGCCAAGGACGAGAGCTTATTGTGCAACATGAAGTTCAGTGTGGAGCCTTTAGTTTGTAATCAAGGCTTTGTTCTTTTGACTTGGTGTTTTTCCTTCACAAGCTGTTCAAGTGCTACGAGTGATGAGAGAAAGGAAAGCCAGTTGCAACTCAGGTACGCAGGCAGTGTTGCTGCTCTGTATTCTATTTTTATATACAAACACCATCACTCCACAGTATCCGTTATCTCTAAAGGAGTTCATTTGAAGTTGAATTCCTGCTTATGATGGATCTAACTTTTCGTCATGTTTTTATTTCCTTTGTCTTTGTGTTTTGGGGGAAAACAGTTAGTAGGAACTGTATGTGTCCATGCTTCAGAGGATATGCGTGCAACAGGCAATCTGAATGTACCTTCTTCTACACATTGCTACACATTACTAGCCATCCGGTCATGGTTCATGCCTCTAACCGTTTTTGTTTGCTCCCTTCTCTTGTTAGAAGAGGTAAATGATTAGCCATATATGAAACATTCAATGAATTAAATGCAAAGAAAAAATAAACTAATTGTAGATCAATTTAGTCTGCATTGTTTTGTTTGTCATGTTTGCCCAGTTAGTTACAGAGTAGAAAAATTATATTAGTATTATTTGTGTTTGAGATTAAATGTGGGAGAGGGGAGAGAAATAATAGACACCAGTTGTGTTTACAAACATTTGAACTAAATATGATGGGATTGCTATGCACTCATTGTAGAAGATGAGGGTGAATATGGATTTCTTTTTTAAATAATAGCTGTTCTCAGTGTAATGTGCATACTTGCTTGTAACAAGAGAAAGAGGCAAATGTGTGTATTATAAATCAAACTAATCTCCATCTACAGATGATCAAAGACAGCATTTGCAAATGTCAGACAAAACTGGAGTTTTTAAGGATTTTCCATGAAATGAACGGATTCCTTCACAGATGATAAATGAGCACGGCATATGGAGGATTTAAACAGCGATTAAATGTCATTTTCTCCAAGTAGAGAGAAGGTAAGAGCATTAAGACCGTGACAGAGCTGGAGAAAATCTACTGAATATTCCTAATCCTAATGATAAAGATGCAGGTGTGACACCAAAATGTGTGACCTATCAGATTCTGTGACCCAAATGGGAAGTTCAGCGGCAGAGGCTTTGTTGACGATGTGAAGCGGTTGGGTTTGGGCACCAAAAGTACTTTGTTATGGTTAGGAAAACATTGTCGTTTGGGTGTAGTCACAGAATCTGATAGGTCACACATTTTGGTGTTACACCGGGAAGGTTGAGGTAGTAGGTAGAAACATATAGGGTTTGACTGGAGAGGAAACAGAAATCACTCAGTTTCAGCATGTGTTCAGTAGTAAATTATATACTACTGGTCATTTTTTCCTACCAGGTCATTGTCCCGGGGCTTTAGCTCCGGATGTTCTGACTGTAGCCCGGAATGGCGCAGCAGGGCCGTGCAGAGACCTTTGGAAGGGCAGGTGCTCAAAGTATAAAAAGGGCACATGGAACAAGGATTTGGCTGTTCTCAACATATCGATACAGAAATATATTGTTATGTAATCCTTGATTATATGTGTATACAGATGCTTCTGTATCGATACATCAACAAATGCTGTGACACAGTTTTGAAAAAGAAACACAGGGAATACCCAACTCTAGCTTTAAAACATGGGGGGTGACATAACTTACAGGGAACAGTTGCTGTTGAGGGGTTGCTGGGGATGTTGCTGCTGCGGCTTTGGTTGCTGCTGATACTACTGGAGGTGATCTGTGACTAGAGATATTATAACAAACATAGAAGATATATAAGCTGATGAAACAAATATGTGACCATGACAAGATGTAAAGATTGCTGACAGTATTTGGGACCGGCTCACTATGACTGACCTGCTGTAGCTGCAGCCGCTGCCAAGGCTGACTGCTACGAGAAAATAAGAGGGAGACGCTCACAGAGACTGCTGCACACGGAGAGCTGCAGGTAGAGGAAATAAGATACCCGGTTCAAAAAAGTGTGGGAAATAATCTGGGAAGGAAACAGTATTGGGAGAAAGGACTAGGTTAGCCAAGGCAGGGGTAAGAGTGAGACACATCTATAGACAAGTGTGTGTGTAGGCAATATTGTGATAATGATTTTATATATTGCATTGTGAATCTGAGATATATATTGGATTTTGATTGACTATATGTCTAATCATTAATCTAAAAAGATGTGTGTGTGTTCATTCTGTTGGCCCATAATAACCATGACAGAGCAGCATTTACCTTTCACATTAACATTTCATACCTTTGTCTGAAATCTAATAGGGCCATTTCTTCTTCACTCTTTACTTTGATGTCAGGAATATTATTTATTTTATACTGACACTGACATTATTAAATGTACTTTCAGTTATTTAGTTCATATAATAGGTTTGCTATCTATTCAAATACTGTTCTGATTTTAAATGATCGTTTGAAAAAGGGCTGATAAGTTGGCTATAATTCGGGGAATAAGTAATAAACCTGTTTTACCAAAGTTTTTATAATTATTTTAAGGCACACTACGTTTTTTATTAAGTTACTGTAATAATCCTAGTTCAAGTGAAAGGTTTTTAGTCAAATTATATAAAAAATACCAGCCCTCACGATGCCCGTGAAACTTTTCTCCCTCAAACAGCAAGAACGAAGTGAACAGAGCAACTTTAGATTATCTGTGTGTAGAAGCAACGTTAGCTGTGGCCACAGTGTTAGTCGGCAGCTGAAGTTACTTCTACTGGCGACACGCAGCAATATACAACTACTATGCTGCTCTCTTCGCGTCTTTCTTGTAAAATACATCCAACAACCCACAACAAGCACGTTGAGGCAAACCCCTCTTACCGGCGGGACCGCAGGTGTCCTGCAGGCAGAGCTGCTGAATCACTAACGGCGTGTGAACGGGAGGGCTCGTCACGGATGAGGTCATCAGGTGAAAGGTCATAATGTGCGTCATTGTATTTACTGCGAAATTATTTTTACTAATAGTTTGATTCGGCAGGCATTCACAAAATGACCTTTACAAATTTAAAAATTAATGAATTAATTAAATTTGTCATTGACAAAAGGGCACTTTGGACATCAAAGGGCAAAAGGTCAGGTGCTCAAGCACCCATAGCACCCCCCTCTGCACGTGCATGTGGCGCAGCCTGTCTGTCTCGCAGGTCTTCAAAGAACTGAGGCTACTCGCAAGTAGGGACAGAATAACGTGGCACACCTGACCGCGACACAGACACCTATTGCTCGCTTTGCAGTCTCTGTCCCCCTCACTCAGAGACGCTGTGCTCTGTTTGGGACTGTCTCTCTGCTCCAGGATGTTTCCCTCTGAAGCCAGTAAGCTAAACTTTATCAAAGGAGCTGAAGTTTACATTTCTGTGGATTTGTGGTGAGATTTCTGACTGATCAGAAAGTGTTTTCAGTTTCGGTTTTCTACATCTGATGGAGAGCAGTGAGCTCCTCTCATCCATACAGTCCCAGACGGGCTCTGTGTCTGTCAGACGGTCTAAAGGGGAAAACCATATCAGCAGAGCAATAACGTGCAGCAGAGGGGCAGATAGATTTTGTTAAAATATTATGACTTCATTCACATTATATTGCAGTTTTATTCTGGTAATATTACCACTTTTGGGAGAGTCTGAATGCGCAGAAAGTTTTGAACAAGAGCATATAACCTTCGGAAACACAGGAGCTATTAAAGTCCAGGAGTTGAAGGTGAAAATGTGCCACATGCACATTTAAAGACTTTACTTCAGTCATGCATGCATGTGTGTTGACTCAGCAGAGATTAAATTAAATGAGAAAAGTTGATCAACAGGAGAAACATATCTGACAGAAATACAGAATGCTTGAGAGCCTTACTGCATTATATTGCACTATATTTTTATATTCTGAATTGTCATCTGAATTTTGTGTTTCTTTTTATATAAATAAAGACATTTCCTCAATAAATTAATGCAGAAAAAATCACCAAAATGCAGGAAATTACGTGTTTCATGCCCAAGTTTTTCACATTATCAGTAGTAATTATAAAAATCAGAATAATGTATTGATACATTATACATAATTGAAATGTAGCTCAATGTTGTAAAGGTAAAGTCAGTATAAGGTTCAGTTTCACAAATGGCATACAAGTATATGTCATTTACTTTTGCTTTATAGACCTACTTTAGGTAGGTGTGGGGGGTGTGGGTGAAAATAGGTGAAAACATGAAAGATTTCTGGGCTGGGCTAAGCCTCCAATGTTTCAAGAGCCCAGAAACGCCCCCGAGTATATATACAGTATTTAATGTGATTTAACATGCATTTTATATATGTTATACATATTCCTTTGGGGTTTGCTTTTTAAAAATAAAAGTGTTATAATTTATATTTATGCCTTTTTAAAATTGTCTTTTTAGAAAGCGTGAAATAAAAAAAGGCATGGAGACATGAGGAATCTCTTGTGCCATTCAATTTGGAGCCGCTTGCTCCGCCTATGTTCCTGCAGGTGTAGGGACCTGTTTCAGCTTGACATTTTTGGGATCGTTAGTTGAAGAAAATGAAAAGCAAAATAAAAAAAACCGTTATGGTTAATATTTATTAAGATCCTCTCTCACACAATACTGACGCATGTAAAACATTTGGGGTTTGCAAGCAGAGACCAAACGAGTGAAAACGTGTTTTTCTCCCAGTGGAGGGCGGCAGAGGGCCGTTGTTAGAAGTCGTCTTCCGTTAATGATGCCAACGACAAAGAACATAAACAGGAAGTCACGAGAGACGCACTGGTTGTGTGATTTTGTCGGCAAATTCCGTCGTTTTATAGTAAATAATCTTTTAGACCTGCACAAAAACTCAAGATGGGGAAGCGACAGCACCAAAAAGATAAAATGTAAGTAGAAACTTTCCCCCGAACAAAACACCGAACCACTGAAATGCGTTTGTTGTTGTTAGCTTAGCTAGCTAAAAGAGTTTGCTAGAGTCCTGCTAGCTGCTACCTTACAGTAGCTTTATTCTGTATTTAATATTGCTTCCCCCTATATTTAAATGTATATTTTGTCCTCTGTACAGGTACATCACATGTTCAGAGTACACAAACTTTTATGGAGGAAAGCGAACAGGTGAGTAGTATTTTGACATGATATTTTTCTGATGTTCACCAACTGTTACCAGATTAAAACAAAGTGTTACTGTTTGGTTTATTTATGCTTGTTGTGTTTTGTGTATTGTTGTACTCTTAACAGCTCATTGTCACCCTGGATTTAATTTAGTTGCCAGTTTATTAGGTCTAGCTAAAACTAATGAAATCTAATAATAATAATAATAATAATAATATTAACTTTATTTGTGTAGCACTTTTCAAAACCAAAACCAAGTTACAAATTGATGTACAGTAAAAACAAACAAATAATTAAAGTAATTTGAGAAATCAACAATAAATGATACAACAATAACAGAATAATACAATGTTTATAAAAACAGCATGAAATCTTAAGAAGAGATTTAAAAGAGGCCCTGAGTTTGCCTGCCTGAGATCTCCAGGTAGGGATTTCCACAGCTGAAGGTCCGAACAGCAAAAGCCTGGTCACCTTTAGTGACAAGACAAGACCATTAGAAGAGCGAGGATCTCAGGCACCGGTCCGGCTCGTAGGGAGTTGTCAAATCACAGATACAGGCAGGAACCTTTCCCTTAGTAAAATCTTAAAATCAATTCTAGGCCTCGCAGGTAACCAGTGAAGGGTGGCAAGGATTGGTGTGATGTGGTCACTCCTCTTAAAAGCCTGGTTGTAGCATTTTGAATGAGCTGCGGTCTCTGAATGCTTCCCTTGCTAATACTAGAATACAGAGCATTGCAGGGGTCGAGTCTTGAGGAGATAAAGGCATGCATGACCTTCTCTATGTCAGCAGAGGAGAGGAATGATGGGATCTTTGTTAGCTGTCTTAGCTGGACAAAACAGGACTGCACCACTTTGGTCCCCTGAGCTTCAAAAATTACACCAAGGTTGCGGGCTTCTTTCTGAATGTTGTCCAAAAGGGGACCCAGGCTAGTGGAGAGATTATTATAGTAGCTAGTGCTGCGTCCGAAGGGGGTAAATACAATCACTTCTGATTTGGTGTTAATCTAAAGAAAGTTATTAAACATATGTAATATAACGGCCCTAAAATAAACCCTACCTTCATGAAGGTTATAATCTTCAGTTTTTGTTTAAACAGTTTTAAAGAGGCATTGATTCAACTTGCTGTTGCATTTTATTGTGTTTACTAATATTTTTGTCCACCCTATTTATTTCAATAAGCGTAAACTAATGTTTAACAGCAATACAAACTACAGCCACCAAAATTACCATAATCAACACCTCTCAACAAAAACTGATCATTATAACCTTCAAGAAGTTAGAATTTATTGCAGGTCTGCTGTATTAGACTAGGGGTTCCCACCTTTTTTGTTAAATTATGACCCCTCATAATAAAGCAATGTCTACTTGCAACCCCTTGTCAGCGGTTGCACATGTCTACCAGTTGTGAACAGTTAAATCAAAAGACGATTTCCTTTTCCTTGTTGTATTTGAATATCTTACAGGAAATGCTAAAATTATCCAGTAATTCACTGAAAAAATGCTAAGATAAGATGAAAGACTGACAATTTTAATGTGATTTTTGTGTGGTGGAAATGTTTTTTTCTGATTTCCTATCCTGTTAATAATCTTGCGACCACTGGGGGTCTCTAACCTCATATTGGGAACCACTGTATTAGACTGCGTTAGTTTATTTATAGTTTATAGTATGCATTAGCAGCTCAGCTCTATACTACTATCCTGAATTTAATAGTAAAACTATTTTAACATCCATGATTCCACCCATCATCTACAAAACAACGTGAAGTGTAACTTTTCACACTTTGTAAAATGTTTTCTTTATGTTTTTGCTTTTCAGAAATCCCACAGGCAAACTTCAGACGGCTTCCATTTGACCACTGCAGGTAAGACTTGTTTATCACATCCAAGAGAGGTTAATCTGTCTTAGTTGTATTCTGCACAATAAGTTTGGCATTAGACCTCTAAAACATTCTGGCCAGTAGTAGAGGATACTTGACACCAGTATATTGCATGGACAGGTAAAAATCTATGCAATCAAATCTATGAAAATCTGGCTACACATGTGTTTTTGCTGAATAATTGAAAATTATCTACCAATTGTCATATTTTTGGCTTAACTATTTTCTCTGAAACGTTTCAGCTTGTCCCTTCAGCCGTTTGAGTATCCTGTCTGTACTGAAGAGGGAGTTGTCTTTGACCTGCTGTAAGTAGATGAGGCTATTTAAACAAAGAAAAAAGGCATTTTTACAACAGGCATGTCTGACTATTAGTGACCTCCGGGCCATTGGGTAATAATGGTTTACACATGCAGGCTACTAGACAGACCTGTGAAGAAAAACAAGTAAAATATCACAATCTAGTTGGTCACTCAAACCAATCAAATACCATCTGTGTCTTATTGCTTTCTTTGCCCTGCTAGTGGAGGAGTGTTGATGACTTTGATGGTCAGTCAGTTTGTCTGACAGCTCAACACTAGTTCAGGTTAAGATATCTCTGCAACTGTTCATACATGGAGCTCTAAGTAATCCAACTTCAAACCTTGCGTCTTTATTGTTGTTGTCTTACTGAACATAGTTGAAAACACATTGTAGCTCATATGTATTGTGGTATCTTGTTGTGTCTGGTTTGACCTTAAATCTGAGAGTAATTACACAACGCTGTCGACACATGCTTATCGGTTTTAAACCGAATCGGTAAAGATGAGTTCCTTTTCTACCACTGTTTCAGGAGCATCGTCCCATGGATCAAGAAGTATGGTACTAATCCGACCACTGGAGAGGTAAGCAAAAAACACACGCCAAGCAGCATGTTTATTCATCTGACAGATTCTCCTTTATCTACTTATCTATGCTCATATTTTAGTTTAGTTTAGTACATTAGTATGTCACTGACTATTGTCTATACAGTTAAGTACAGTTATTATTCATTAATTATTAAATATTAAAGCGGAAAAACATCAGCTCAAAGATGATCTCTTGTGAGAGATTTGTAAAATGCCTTCATCGCCTTTTAAGGAAAAGGGAAACCAAATTATTCAAATTTTGGATCACATTATTTTTATGACTACACACTAACACCAAAATTTTTTGTCTTTACCACAGAAACTGGAAGCAAAGTCCCTCATCAAACTTAACTTTGCCAAGAACAACGATGGTAAAAATGCAAATGTTCATTCAATGCACTTTGACCTTGAAGGATTTGACGCTGAAACTACGGATATAATAGTTGTCATTAGAGCCGAAAGGAGCTTAATTTTTAGTATCATCCAGTAGTTAGGAATATAAAGGTCAATTTGGAAGAGGGATAAGAGCAAATGAAAGCAAGTGGAGGAGAAAATGTGGGAGAGATGATATAATTCAGCACGGAGCACATTACATGAGCAACTTTTTGACTTCTGGAGGAGATGAGTTTTCGGCCTGTGGCACAGACTGAGAGTGACTCTGCTGCTCTCCTTGCTTCTGATTTTCTTTTCATTTTGTTCCAGGGAAGTATCACTGCCCTGTTCTGTACAACGTCTTCACAAATAATTCTCACATTGTTGCCAACAAGGTCACCGGCAACGTTTTTTCTCATGAGGTGAGTGAACTGCACACTTTCCCTGCATTGATCCTCATACCCAAATTTGTTTTGTACAACACGTTTTTCCAAACAAATTGAGGATTATGCACTGTACAGAAAAAGTTCTTCTGGTTTTTCAGATCAATTTGACAAAAAAGAATCCGCCTTTGTTTTTTTTTAATTGTCTTATCAAAAATACAAACAAGCATATTACTGTTGAACGGCAATTAAAAATCAATTAAATTAGGTATAAAAGAATACATTTTATGTGACCTTAGTGAATTTCAAGAGAGGCTTTTGTTTTCTTAAGTATTTCTGTTTCCACTCAGGCTGTTGAGCAACTCAACATTAAGACCAAAAGTTTTAAAGATCTGCTGACAGACGAACCCTTTACTAGAAAGGACATCATAACACTTCAGGTGGGTTATTGCTTTATTTTGGTTTACTAACTTTAAAAAACACGTCATTTAGGGAAAGTAACCTTTAGTCTCGTGGTGAAAATGTTTTTGTTTTTGCAGGATCCCACAAACCTGGATAAATTCAATGTTTCCAACTTCTTCCATGTAAAAAACAACCTGAAGGTGTTGGATCCTGGTAAGTTATCGAACTGATATCTGTCATATGTTAATCAACCGTTTGTGATGGGGAACCAGGCTAAACATACTTTGGAGTTTTCATGGAATATAAAACCATATGTAAACCATTTCCTTCCTCTTGCTCTCCTTTCCCTGGCATGGCTCAGAGGAGGAAAAGGCCAAGCAGCAACCGGGGTACCACCTGAAGACAACCAACCTGGAGACCAGGGAGACCTTAGCGGAGCTGTACAAAGACTACAAGGGGGATCAGCTCCTGGCGTCCACTATGAAGGAACCAGAGGCCAAGAAGACAGACAAATTAAACGCAGTAAGCAAAATCCCTGATGCTAATTTAAAACTGCACAGTCCAACAAGAGAAGGAGAGAGAAGTATGACATTAAAAAACACAAAATGGAAAGAGAAAGTAAGTGGTGGAGATATTTATGGAGAACCACCAAAGACCATAAAGAAACTAGTCTCTCTATATATAATATCTATATAGCCTAGTAATGGAAGTTGTTAAAGCAAATCACCAAAATCTTACATGGTAATTGAAGCTTATCATTTTGCGCCTGCAGCTTCAAATCCCCAGACTGTCTGAGATAATCAATCAGCCAAACATTGCTGAAGTTTTGCTGTTTATTGACTTAGATTGCATTTAAATGAATGTGTAATTCCAGCCATGTCAAGGCTGAGGTCAAGACAAGTTCAGGCTAAATAAAGTCTTCACCATGAGTTCTCATTGGCCTCCTTGTAGCTTTAATGTCAAGTATTTGACACTCATGATACCCATGATACTCAAAAATCCAATTTCCTTCGACTGGAAGACCAGGTGAAGTCGTTAGTCAACAAAGGAGGCTGACCTCTGACCCCATGGAAGAGGGCAACTACAAAGGGGGAATTTTCTAGCATCATCAGTAAAGCATGAAATTCTAAGTATCTTTTATTTCTGACAAAATAGTACCAACTTGTGGTGCACTTACTGCCTTTTGTTTGCTCATATATCATAGAAATGTATATGCTGACCTGCTATCACAGTCATCGTTATGATTTGATCCATAGCATTTTTAGTACTTCGCATTGGCTGAGAAGTTTAGCGCCAAAGATCATTCTTGAACTTGAAAAAACAGCAATTTGACAAAACAGTCCCAACTTTTTCTGGAGCGTTCAGTCATCATAACACATGGTGTCCTGGCGTCTTAGCTGTTGAATCATGAAAAAAAAAAAACGAAGTTTTGGTATTTAGACAGTTTCCAAGAGCTTTAAAGCAATGCAACTCCTAGTCTGAATAATTGATTAAACATGATGTATCAGATTTATCAATCAATTCTTCAGTTGTGCATTAGTTCGGTGAAGTGTATTTTTTACTTTGAACACTGGAGGGAGCCAAACACACAGTAATACGCTGACAGCATTGTGGACAACAAGACTTACAGCTCCACCCAGAAACAGAACAAAGAATGTTTACAATGATGTGAGGAAGATGGATAATATTTTACACTTCCATTAGATGAATTATAGCAACGGCAGTATGAACATGTCGTGGGCTAAAACATGAACCTGAGCGAGACATGGACTTGGAACGGAGGCCTCTTTACATATGCAGCAGATTTATATACTTTATTTTAAAAATGCCCTCTGGAGACTTACTGTAACCTCCTCCAGGCCTGCTCTCAGTCATGAGTCAAAAACAGATGTGTAACCAACAAAGGTCATCCGCAGCCACGTTACCACTGTGACTGTGTCCTTGAATAAATGAGGGTGAAGTCTGATTCAGTTTGAACACCTCTTTTCTTATCAGCTCTCCTTTGATGCTACGCCATGTCTCGTTTTGCGCCAGAGCTTTTCCTTGGTTTGTCTTTGTCTCGAGTTCACCGTCGAGGTGACGCTCTAACAGCATCTGAGAGAACAGGGAATATAGGTCAGACGGAGCGCACAAGGTAAAGTCTGTGCTTTCATGCGCCTTCACAAGAACTAGAGCAGAAGAATGCTAAACCCCGACTGTATAGTAGACTTGAGCTAGACTTGAGTAGAAATCTTTTTCATTTCTTCGCTTTCATCTCCCTGAGTTGTCATTCGAATGACTTAAATAACTCCTTCAATCTCACTGCATGTTTGCGGTATTTTTGGATGTTGTATATTACTATTCAACTAATTTAATCTACTTTAAGTTCAGAGAAACTTAAAGCATCTCCAATGCCCCTTAATTATTAGACGGTAGAGAGCACAGCCTCCAAGCTGAGGGGGTTGTGCTCTTAATCATACAGAGGCCATCATTAAGCTAGTTTGCACTTGATGCACCGCTTAGCGCAAATGAGGGGACCAGCCAAGTATGTGGCTGGAAAAAGGTGTGGTTGAGTGGGGAAGATTATTTTTCCACTGGTGGATGAAACTTCAAGCTCCTCTAACGAGTAAGTGTCTGCCCTGTTGAAGTGCCTCTTGAGTAGAAACCTGCTAGGCGTATTTAGCTGATGCTGATCTCCAGGGGAATATTTCACAGTGGGGATAAATATACAAATAAGTGCTGCAAGTAATGTTATTCTCAATATTGTCTCATCTCTCATCACACCAGTCGCATTCTCCAAGAGCACTGGGGGACATAACCTAAATATATTCACTTTATAGTGATATAAAACTAAGAAAAGCAGCAAATCCTCACATTTTGAGAAGATGGAATCTATCAAATTTTGTCATTTTTGCTTGACCTTAATGATACATTTTGTTTTCTTTGTCTAATTGATTAAATAACTCAACTCAGTGCCATTTCAGACCCATTATTACACTTAAAAGAGCATTAAATAATTGAGTGTGAAAGATCATTCTTAATCTTGGAAAATCTGAACTCAAGGTCCACTTAGTAGCTTTTTCCTGAGCTTTCAGACAAGTGTCATCCCATATACGACCACCATCTTCGACAGTGACCGGATTGGTCATGCAGCATTAAACAAAATTCTTAGTTTGATTGTATTGTTAGTCAGCATCAGTTGATCACTTGATCTGACTCGTACTGATGCGAAGATTTCGGCCATTCAGCACTTTTCAATCTACTTTATTTTGAGAGAATAACTAAAATCTGCCCATTTGATGGTATTTGAAGACTGTCCCAACAAGTTAACCAACATCATAAAAGTATGCTTTAACAGGAGAAGAAGTGCTTAAAAGGTAGGGTAGGGTTAATCAACATAACATAACAGCTGTCATTTATCATTTTTAATTTATGTCTTTTTTTTTCCCCCAAGGCCCACTACTCCACAGGCAGAGTTTCCGCCTCCTTTACATCCACAGCCATGACTCCTGCAACAACACACGAAGCAGCAAGTGAACATCTCATACACCTCTTCTGTCTTTTGTTGCTTTAATCTTAATTTGTCCAGGGAAGACTGGCTGGTCATGCCTGCTCTCTTGCAGTTCAGTGCAGCTTCATGCTCACACATCGTCAAATGTAGTTGCAAGTGGGAGCTGTTCAGTTCAACTCTGTTTTCTTCTCCTGTCAGCCTCTGAGCTGCTCCATGGGGGAGATTTGCTGTTATGCAACTGTATAGTAGGTTCAGTAGACTTCAGAAGAGCGGGAGAATGTTGGATTTAGTGACCTAGTTCAGTTTTGTAAAAAAACATGACATGCCAGATATTTTTGGAGATGTGTGTCTTAGTCTAATGCCTCATTTCCATGGTATGGGACGGCTCAACTCGCTTAAAATTGTTCTTTTTTGGTTATTACCTTGTCGAGATTCCGAGCGAGCTGACCCCATACTAAAAGAGCACTGTAGACCTCTGATTGGTCAGAAAGAACAGTTCCTTGTGCCACAGGGACATCCTGCGCAATTCCACCAACAGTAACAACTGCAATTTTTTTATTCACTCGACCTAGATTTTAAAAAATGCCATCCCGCACAACCACACCGTGGTGCAGGTGTCCCTCTGTTTGGTTGCCGGTGAAAGGATCCAACGAGTTTCGTGTTGCGTTGAAGATGATGTCATGGCATTTTCACGCAGCGGCGCTGTGAAGATCAGCTTAGAATCACATCTACATTGAGGCTATACTGTATCTGCAGTGGAAAATTAAACCGAGAAAATACCTTGTACCAAAAGAGTCGAGTCGAGGCTTAAGTAACATTGTCTTTACAGTACGTATATGTATATTAAAATACGAGTTGTTGAATTCTCCAAAGGATTTATATTTTATTGGCCAGGTTTCTATTTACATTTTTGTCAGATTTTGTCATTTCTTTGAATAACGTTTTTAATTACACTGTGTATAAAGGCTAAACTGTAATTAATAAAAGCTATTTGGATTTAAACACTTGCATAAATCTAAATAACAACCTGCACTTCAGAGGCTCTCAGGATTTTTGAAGGTCAGATCTTACCTGCAACAACATCAATCTGAGACTCGTAAACAATCAATAAGAAGAATTGATTGTTTTTCAAAATAACAGCTCCCGTCTGATTTGCCAGTCATAATGTCAAATGCTGTAATCTGTAAAGAAAAATTTAAATAACACAATTTGCATTTTTATGTCATAGAGGCCATCACAGACGACATTGTGCGTTACCAGTATGTGAAGAAAAAAGGCTACGTCCGTCTACACACAAACAAGGGAGACCTGAATGTTGTTGCACTGTGATAAGGTAATAACGCACGTATTCTTATACACAAAGAAACATAAAATCACAGACCAAACAAATGAAAGAAATAAAGCTAGTACTTGTTGTAGCATTTGGGGAAGTCCAGAGTCACAGTTTCTGTGTCTCCCCATTTTCTAGTCAGGAACTCACAACTTTATTTGTCAATGAACCTAGCAAGCCCTCATACTTTTTAAAATGTCCACATGATCATTCAAGGATAGAACTGCAAGAAAAAGGGAGATTATCATCAGGTTTATATTCTCCAGTCTTTGGCAGGTAGTGTTTGGAAGGTTGAAAGTATAAACGTTTAAAGCAATGTGTAAATATAAACAGACAATATATAGTTTTATAAAAGAGGACTGGTGTTTTGACAGTGAGCCGCTGATTCAGACTTGCTGATTTAATTCGCAGGTAAAAGGTTGTCAAATAGTGTTGACGTGATGTGGGTTCGGCCTGAGCCAAATGGTTAAATCGTGCTTAGGGTGACACATCCAAAACACTGAAATCTGCCTCTTGCAGAGTCTGTCCCCCAGGTTGCCAAGTTTACATCTTGACAGAAATGTGTTTCTTGTGTACCACCTTTTTAAGGTTAGGTGTGGGGCTCCAGAGAGACGGCATGAGTTCCAGGAGTGCTTTTCTGCCCTGGTAACCAGGCGTTTCATGTGCTTGGTTTTTATTGGCTTCTGAGCTGTCGAATCAGAATAATGAGGGGGAAAGTTGCAATGGTTAGACAACCTGCCCTCTGCGCCCCACGTCCTCCTCCTCCCCACCTTACTCCCCTGCGGTTTCACACAAGATTGCAGCTCTATTTGTGGCCTGCTGTTTATGAATTAATGAGAGCGTTTCACTGTCACATACACTCTCAGTCAGACCACTCCAG